TTTTTTTTTTTTTTTTTTTCTTGTTTTTTTTTTTTTCTTTTTTTTTTGTTTTTTTTTGTTGTTGTTTTTTTTAATGCATTCAAATTGTCAGTCATCGAACAAGCCTTCTTGAAACGAAATAATTCTAACAAGCAGTATGTTAATTTGTGCTGTGAGACAGATTTGTATGTAATAAAAAATTTCAGCTCCATTAGAGGAAAGAAAATATGGCTCCTTTAGGGTGGGAAAGATATCGCTCCTTGAGGACGGGAGTGTGGGGGTGGGGGTTCTTTTTGTTTGTATGTGATGAAGAGCGTCAGTAATTGTCAAGCACGGAATTCCTGGGTCAGTAAAACCGTACCGGTGTTGGTCAACATTTTAATATTTGACATTGAGCTTGTCGTGTTTCCATATTCTGAAAAAATAACGATGAAGCAAATTCTCACGTCTGCTCTACAAAGACAACAAATGACAATAACTTCATCTCTTACGGGAGATCCTCAGTCAACCGTGAAGACGTTTGTCATTTTCAGCGGAAGTCAAGGTCACTCAATTATTCAACACACATAGCAATCATCTGCTTTGAACTCTGAACTCTCTCTCTCTCTCTTTCTCTCTCTCTCTCTCTCTCTCTGTCTCTCTCTCTCTTTCTCTCTCTCTTTTTCTCTCTCTCTCTCTCTCTCTCTCTCTACCTCTCTCTCTCTGTCTGTCTCTCTGTCTCTCTCTTTCTCTCTCTCTCTACCTCTCTCTCTGTGTGTCTTTCTCTGTGTGTCTCTCTCTGTCTCTCTCTGTCTCTCTATCTACCTCTCTCTCTCTCTCTCTGTCTCTCTCCCTCCCTCTCAGTCTCTCTCCCTCCCTCTCTCCCTCCCTCTCTGTCTCTCTCTCTGTCTCTCTCTCTCTCTCTCTGACCGCATTGATCAAACTGTTATTGATGAACGCCATTGAAATAAACCCGGTCTTTATCTGGTATCAACTGTTTAATATCTGGGCCGTAAATTGTAACGGTTCGCTGATTGTCTTACAAGCTGGCCAACATGCAAAACAACCCAATTAATGTATGCACACGCGTCGGCTATTGGAGACTTCGGTTAATCAGGAGAACACTTTTTTGTTTTGTTTTGTTCTTTTTATTTTATTTTTTTTTTTTTTATTTTTATATTTTCTTTTCTTTTTTTTCCTTTCCATTTTTTTTTTAAATTTTAAAACTTTTACAAAGGCCATGAGATTTTGACATCTATAGCTTAATGTAGTGCATGCGATTCTTCAATAGCTTTTAGCATATTGTCATCAAGTTGTCTCAGCAGGTCTTGATGACGATTCTGGCGATTCCTGGTATCTACCCACACTGTTTCCGTACAGATGACTTGTCATTCTGATGCCGTACAGATGATTTGTCATTCTGGTACCGTACAGATGACTTGTCATTCTGGAGCCGTACAGATGACGTGTCCTTCTGGTGCTGTATAGATGACTTGTCATTCTGGTGCCGTACAGGTAACTTGTTAACTATACATGAAATATAACATGCATAGTTGAGAAAAACATGAAATATAACATGCAGAGTAGATAAAAACATGAAATATAAAATACAGAGTAGAGGAAAACATGAAATATAACATGCATAGTTGAGAAAAACATGAAATATAACATGCAGAGTAGATAAAAACATGAATTATAACATGCAGAGTAGAGAAAAACATGAAATATGACATACAGAGTAGAGTAAAATATGAAATATAACATACAGAGTAGAGAAAAATATGAAATATAACATACAGAGTAGATAAAAACATGAACTATAACATACATAGTTGAGAAAAACATGAAATATAACATGCAGAGTAGATAAAAACATGAAATATAACATACATAGTTCAGAAAAACATGAAATATAACATGCAGAGTAGATAAAAACATGAAATATAACATACATAGTTGAGAAAAACCTGAAATATAACATACAGAGTAGAGGGAAATATGAAATATAACATACAGAGTAGATAAAAACATGAAATATAACATACAGAGTAGATAAAAACATGAAATATAACATACAGAGTAGATAAAAACATAAAATATAACATACAGAGTAGAGGAAAACATGAAATATAACATACAGAGAAAGGAAATTCCTGAAATATCACAAAATTAAACAATTGACGTTTCGAGTACTAACTATTATCATTTTTTTTTTTTTTATTAACTCAAAACATCAGTTCGGTTATAAGCTGGTCACTCCTGTCCAAGTTGGCAAGTGAAGTTCTCTCCCTTCGCACATTTTGAGATGGCCATGAACATAGTTGACCTTTTTACATTTTCGTCTATCCTTGACCTTTCACCATTTTTTAAAGGCTTATCTATATCCGGCCTCCCACATTTATTACAGGTGTGTGGGGGGGGGGAGGTTTGGTGTGAGGGTGGTGGGTGGTGTGGGTGGAGTGGGGGTGGAGTGGGGGTGTGGGTGGATGGAGGGATTCAAGCGATCATCTTCAGAGTTCATATCTGAAATTGAGCAAAAATATTTTTAATGATGTTACAATATATTTAAATATATTGTTCCCTATCTTTTGGTAATAGCAATCCTTCCTCGAATTTTTTTTTTAAAGATATAATTTCACAATTGCAGACACCAAATCAGACGTGAAATACAATTGTTTTGTTAAAGACTTCCCCACCCAAATTTCAAAACTAGTCACGTCCGCTTTAACGGCATTCCTAAAGGTGTTACAATTATGCGGCGTTCTTTTCCTCTCATTTAATATTGTGCTACTTCGTTACTTTTAATTGAAATCTCCTCAATATTTTATGATCAAGACAATCACTGACACTTCCTTGATGATTTTTTCCTAGCAACTTTCATATCAATTTCCACACTGAAATTAAATATTCTTTTCAACCGTGTTTATCAAACAAAAACTATTGTAAATTGCGTTTCAAAACTAATAGAATTATAAATTTGTTGTTTTTTTTTAACACGTTATTTTCAACAGACGCTAACTAAAAATTCCATTCAGACCACGCTCAGTCAATTAAAAAATGTTGGTAGTTGACTTGAGCGGTGTCAATAACGTTGGTAGTTGACTTGAGCGGTGTCAATAACGTTGGTAGTTGACTTGAGCGTTGTCAACGACGTTGGTAGTTGACTTGAGCGGTGTCAATGACGTTGGTAGTTGACTTGAGCGGTGTCAATGACGTTGGGAACTGACTTGAGCGGTGTCAATGACGTTGGTAGTTGACTTGAGCGGTGTCAATGATGTTGGTAGTTGTCTCGAGCGGTGTCAATGACGTTGGTAGTTGACTTGAGCGTTGTCAATGACGTTGGTAGTTGACTTGAGCGTTGTCAATGACGTTGGTAGTTGACTTGAACAGCGGGGATGATGTTCTGAACAGAAGTGACGTATTAAAGGGTTTTCACCATTTTATCTTTTTTTAAACGCGTCTATATTTAAACATTGAACTTGGCATAACACAGTGTCCAAATGTTTAAATTTAATCTACTTCCCCGTGTCTTGGTGAACTCATTGTTAACACACAGCTTGGTATATGGTTGGAGTTGGTTCTCTTACGGTGTGTTATAAAGCAATGAAGTACAACGGATAAATAGACGTAAATCGTAAAGCAATGAAGTACAACGGATAAGTACACGTCTATCGTAAAGCAATGAAGTACAACTGATAAGTACACGTCTATCGTAAAGCAATGAAGTACAACGGATAAATAGGCGTAAATCGTAAAGCAATGAAGTACTACGGATAAATAGAATCGTGTTTTGTGCACTTACTATAAATGGTAGTTTTGGACCATTTTTAAAAAAATAAATTTGAAATGACAAAAAACTTTAAGAGCTTAAACATTGTCTGAAGACATCACAGTGACAAAACCACGAGGATAAAAAAATAGTTCTTGAAACTAATTTGTTCAATGGTCACTAGGCTTTAATGCCTCTGGAGATAATTTTTGTTTAAAATTTGTTCACTAAACTAGAATCATGTGGCGACAGAAACCGCGAAAATAAAAACAGAATACATCTCATAAAAACAGAATATATCAGATAAAAAAAAAAGACTACATCAAATAAAAACATGATATATCAGATAAAAACAGACTCCATTAATTAAAAACAGACTACTTTAAATAAAAACAGACTGCATCAAATAAAAACGGAACACATCAGATAAAAACAGAATAAAGTAAATAAAAACAAAATATATGCAAATAAAAACATAACATGTGCAAATAATAACAGAGTATGTGCAAATCAAAATCACTGAGGCCATAGCATTTTGTCAACATAGAACTTAAATGATGCTGTTACCATGTCGCTGACACCATAGCATGTAAAATAAATTTGTCAACACATCTTGTAGATGATACTTCTAATATAGCATATAAATGATATTTTCAGCATAACAAATAAATGATAATAATAATAATAATAATAATAATAAGAGGTCTTATATAGCGCGGTACCCTAGCCTAGGGCTGGGCTCACTACGATGTACATAAAAATGTTATCAAAAGAGACATAATCATGACATTAAAATAAAATACACTTATGAAATAAATAACAGCAATGTATATTCACCCACCCCACCACATAACTTTTACAAGGCAAACCATGGACGGCAGCCAACAAGATCGTTTATACCATCAATCTAACATATAAATGATATTGTGACGGACGAAAAAATTAATTACAAATTACTAAAGAAACATATTTTTTGTATAATAAGGGAGGTAAACATGATTTTTAAATGAACAAGTGGATTAGATAGAATTCTTCCCTTGAAAGTTTTAACATCATTTTTTTTTTTTAATTTCTATTGCAAGTGTTTGTAGTTTGTTGGGTCTTTTTGTTGTTGTTTTGTATGTAACACCAGACGTAAAAGATTAGCTGCTAATTGTGACAGCTTGTCAATTTAATTTCAGATTAGAATTATTATTTTCTTAGTTTTGACGCGGGGATATCGAGCAAATCGACGTGTCGGCTCTACTTATAAGAATCTTATTTTGATCACACGTGTCGGCTCTTCTTATAAGAATCTTATTTTGATCACACGTGTCAGCTCTTCTTATAAGAATCGTATTTTGATCACACGTGTCGGCTCTTTTTATAAGAATCTTATTTTGAGCACACGTGTCGGCTCTTCTTATAAGAATCTTATTTTGAGCACACGTGTCGGCTCTTCTTATAAGAATCTTATTTTGATCACACGTGTCGGCTCTTCTTATAAGAATCTTATTTTGATCACTCTGTGCATGTGAGAACGAAAATGCCTAAAAAATTAAGTTGTAATAGATCCTTATAGGATATTAAGTGTTAGGACACAGCTGAAAAAATATATAAAGGGAACATAAAGACATACTTAAAATGTAAAAAATATAAAGACACAGATAAAGCTCCAAGACACACGAATCAATGAGACCCCCCATGACACAGTAGACACATGACAGCCTAAGGATACACCTGAAATTATTTCAGCAACGTTCTCTGATTGCTTAAACGCAGCCCATGTTTTTTTCACAACATTCTATTGACTCATATGCTTACAAAACCCAACCATACTGCCAGCTTATGTACTACTTGCCAACTCTAACAAAACCCAACCATAGTGCTAGCTTATGTACTACTTGCCCACTCTAGCAAAACCCAAAAATAGTGCTAGCTTATGTACTACTTGCCCACTCTAGCAAAACCCAAACATAGTGCCGGCTTATGTAGCCTACTACTTAGTAACTCTAATAAATCTTCCATTACTAAAGCCAGAACCAGTTTCTAACCAACCTTTGTTCTTGGGTTTTTTTTTTTAAATCTAAATACTGAAAACGACAGTCGAACCAAGAAGGCCTAAGCATCAAACTCACCTGAGAAGGCCTAAGCATCAAACTCACCTGAGAAGGCCTAAGCATCAAACTCACCTGAGAAGGCCTAAGCATCAAACTCACCTGAGAAGGCCTAAGCATCAAACTCACCCGAGAAGGCCTAAGCATCACTCACCTGAGAAGGCCTAATCATCAAAATCACCTGCGTAGTAAGGAACCCAGGCCCTATTCTCCCAGCATTATATACATTAATAAACTTGAATAATATCCTTTTTATGTAAGTTATATTTAAGAAAGTACCAGCTAAAGAATTCATCTCTAGCCCAATTAGCTTTCATGTCATAATCATGTATTGAAGATTTTTTTTTATATAAAAATAGTTCAATTGAATTAGGCTTAAAACAACATTGACGGTTGACGTCGTCTGTCTCATACGGTGACAAGAGCAATCCCTACGCCAATTACAATGCCATTAACACAGCGTGCATAATTGTCTCTACGGATAATGGCCTCAGTTTAAGACATCATCCAGACATTAGAGCTCAATCTCCACACACGCATTTCTTTAATTTAAGTTAAAAAGCTCCGCTGTCCAACCAGGGATTCGTGTGTCGAGACACGCGTCACGTGATTTAAGTGGCCTCGGTTTTCGGCTTTGAGGTGGAATTAATTCAATGGTAATGTTCTATTTTGAAATTGTGTAAGAGAAACGGGACAACTTATTGTAAAATGGGCATAAAAAAAAATCATATGTAATTATTGTAACTGTTAAACTAAGTTTAACTGTTTTACTTACCATCGATTGAATCAATGGACGTTAACCTACTTGGCGTGACATCAGTTTGGGAATAAATAGCGAATGATTGGGAATGATTGGGACTGGGGGATTGTTGATTGGTGGCAGGCGATGCTGAGGACCATGCCATTGTTCCTTCAGGTTTAAACCATATTCGTCTTTATAACATTACACCGCTCCTATTTTAGGACACAGTGCTGATAGACAGGACACAGTGCTGATAGACAGGACACAGGGCTGATAGACAGGACACAGTGCTGATAGACAGGACACAGGGCTGATAGACAGGTCACAGTGCTGATAGACAGGACACAGGGCTGATAGACAGGTCACAGTGCTGATAGACAGGACACAGGGCTGATAGACAGGACACAGTGCTGATAGACAGGACACAGGGCTGATAGACAGGACACAGTGCTGATAGACAGGACAAAGTGCTGATAGGCAGGACACAGTGCTGATAGACAGGACACAGTGCTGATAGACAGGACACAGTGCTGATAGATAGGTCACAGTGCTGATAGACAGGACACAGTGCTGATAGATAGGTCACAGTGCTGATAGACAGGACACAGGGCTGATAGACAGGACACAGTGCTGATAGACAGGACACAGTGCTGATAGACAGGACACAGTGCTGATAGACAGGACACAGTGCTGATAGACAGGACACAGTGCTGATAGACAGGACACAGTGCTGATAGACAGGACACAGTGCTGATAGACAGGACACAGTGCTGATAGACAGGACACAGTGCTGATAGACAGGACACAGTGCTGATAGACAGGACACAGTGCTGATAGACAGGACACAGTGCTGATAGACAGGTCACAGTGCTGATAGACAGGACACAGTGCTGATAGACAGGACACAGTGCTGATAGACAGGTCACAGTGCTGATAGACAGGTCACAGTGCTGATAGACAGGTCACAGTGCTGATAGACAGGAAACAGTCCTGATAACAGGACAAAATGCTCATAGAAAAGACACAGTGCTGGTAGACAAGACACAGTGGTGATAAATAAGGACACAGTGTTATATGCAGAACAAAATGCTCCTAGACAGGACAAAATGCTCATAGACAGGACACAATGCTCATAGCCAGGACACAATGTTCATAGACAGGTCACAGTGCTGATAGACAGGACACAGTGCTAACAGACAGGACACAGTGCTGGTAGACAGGACACATTGCTGATAGACAGGACACAGTGTTGATAGACATGTGTTTCCACTCTCCTGCTGCCAACCTCTGTTCTGAGACTCACTCACCAATCGTGAAGATCTACATTCTCAACACCTATGTTTCTAAATATGAGTTTGGCCCCTGGACGGTCTACACGCTGTGTACGTTTGTGATCCACTTTGACTGTGTAACTGGCGCTAGGTTGTACATCAAGTGTGACATAAATGGGCGCTATCCTCCATTGTTGAACTCTCTACACCTAAAGCGATATACCAATAGTGGATTGTATAATACTCAAGTCCAATAAAGTTGACATCAATATTAAACTTCACTCATTGTGTCATCGCACCTAGACATACAGGATCTATAGTTTGCTTGAAAATAAGTTCGCTCTGTGAAAGGGTCGTTCCACACCCCACCACCCCCCCCCCCCCCCCCCCCAAAAAAAAAAGGTCGCGACTCACAGGTTGAGAACCGCTGGCTTAGGGGCTTTGTGATCTTAAATTTAAAACATTGTTATTTCTCGAATAATATTTAAATTCATTTTTATTTTCCGATTTATTCGCCTGATGACATATTTCTTTTCGTTTTTTTTTAATATTTAAATAGTTTTTAGTCTTTCTCAAAAAAAAAAATTGAAAATTGCCCTCATAGAAGACATTCTTCCTGTCGATACTTCATATCATTGCAGTCTGCCATAAAGAGAAATTAAGCCAAATGCATCAGAAACATCATCCGAAAACATTCATCAAGATCTCTGCCCTAAACAGATCAAGTGTTCTCAAACCATCACCCACAAAACTGAACAGAGATCATCGCGCTTGAACATGGCAAACTCTTCAGATATTTCAACTCAGCTTCCGCAAACCACGATTTCCGGTGACCTACTTTCTGCGGAGCAAATTCTGACCGTCTTATTCGTTTACTTTAAAGTTCTGGAGCCGGCCTTGGGAATATTCGGTGTCGCCGTCAATGTAGCAAATATCGTCATCTTCGCCAGAATCGGGCTCAACGAGAGTATCAACGTATCGTTTTGTGCACTGTCAGTCACGGATCTCCTGTTTCTGGTTTGTTCCGGTGTGATCAATCTATTTATAGCAATGGGAACGTACATACCCCAGGCGATGGTGTGGGTTAACATGCACGCCCTGAGTGGCTATCTGACGTGGTACCGCCACATCCTCTTCGACACCTCCACCTGCATCCACACGTACATCGCGGTGGCCCGATGCTGCTGCGTGGCGATGCCGCTCAAGTTTAAGAACGTGTTCACTGTGAGAAGGGCTCTGGTCGTATTCTTCATCTTTCTGAGCGCCAACTTCGCGTCCCACATGCCGCTGCTTTTATCCCACGGCTTAACTTGGGTGTATAACCCTAAGTTAAACATAACTCAGTTAAACACGTGGTTCTACGACGAGTGGACGTTTTATCGAAGAATCAATGATATCGCCAACAGAACAATTTTCCCCATAGTCGCGCTACTCATCTCCATCATCTGCGCCGCCATTTTAACAAGGGAGTTAATTCGCGCCTCGAAACGCAGAGAGCAAATGACGCGTAGTTCTACCCCTTACGCTTTAACCCGATCAGCCAATGAGCGAAAGCGGCGTCGACTGACCGAGAAGAAAGTTTTAGAAAACGGTAAACAACCTGTAAGTGATGTAACCCAACATCACGAGTGTGCAGCAGCAGCATTGACGCCCCAGAACACACCAGATAAACAACACGCAGGAGCGATTGAAAATAACACTTACGAGGTTCCACTGGGATATGATTGCCCAGCAGCAAATCTCACCACAACACAGAGCTTTGAAGATCCGCTTCTGGAGATAAAACATCCATTGGTGAAATCCAGTTCCGAGAGCGTCATCAAAAACTCGTCGAAGACAAACGATCACGTCATGAGTCGCAGGGAACTCCAAATCGTAAAAGCCGTCACCATAGTAACCGCGTGTCTAGCGGCGACGCTCCTGGTCGTGTCCATCAACGCCGTGTCGCAGGCCGTAGTGCCGGATCTGATGTCACTGCGGCGGTTCTCAAGAATGTACACCCTCACCTCGAACATAGGGTACCTGATTATGCACATCAACGCAGGGGTCAACATCTTCATCTACTACCGGTTCAACTCTCGTTTCCGCGAGATCGTTCTGCGCATGCTCCCCGCTGTTTGGTTTTCTCAATGTTCTCAATCTCGACAGAGGCTGGAATTGCTTGGACACTAGTTTCTTGGTCTTTCTCTCCGGGGAAAACCTCAATGCTCCTAACTCAGTTGGGTTTATTTGTGTTTTTTTTTTGTTTTTTTGGCTCAGTATTTTCGGAGGTCAGACCTTCTTGGGCGACAATTTCTTTTTTACGTGACGTGTTCACAGTTTGCTAGCGTGTTAGCTTTCCTTAAGCTTTAGGTTGTTCTGTCGTTTTAGCTCATTTATTGGAGTGCTTGAAAAGTGTATTCGTGAGTATTCTATTAATCCCTTTATTTTTATTATAATGTTGGTTTTTTTGTTTTTTTTTGCGAGGCAACTGTGTAGGTGGCTTATGAAAAAGAGGCTGAGATTCAAATGTAAGGTTTCTCTGAGTCAAATAGCAACGAAAATCTGTTGAATAAGGAATGTGGCCCGTGGTGAGTTTTACGTGGTTTGACACACTAGTATAAAACCGCCATTACGAACTGCATGAACATATACTTGGGTCACTTTCCTCCGCAAGTTACCTCGGTGTTATCATTTAAAGAGAGGTCCACTAGGACGAGCCTATTAGCAATGTATGCGACAAGGCAAACAAAACCCTTGACAGAGCCGATAAAGCGTTTGTCCGGCTGCTTTTACATTACGCATCTTCAGCCTGGGACCCGTTTCCCATAAGAGCATCGACAGATTGGAGGCGGTCCAGCTACGGGCAGCACGCTTTGTCCTGAACCGCTACAGGAATACCTCTAGTGTTGGCAGCATGCTAGAAACACTGGGCTGGTCAACATTGGAGTAACGACGACGACTATCCAGGCCCTCCATGATGTACAAGATAAATAATGGGCTGGTCCACTGTTCCAGTATTAAACGGACACTCGTCCCTCTCACCCATTGACAGCGACGAGGTCATGACAAGCAGTTCCGGCTCATACCAGCAAGAAGCCAGTATAGGAACTGCTCATTCCTGCTAAAGACAGTCAGGGACTGGAACAAGCTTCCAAACGGAACAGTTGAGGCGACAACACTTGACACATTCTTGCGTCTATTGCCTCAGGCCTTCCAACCCCCAGGTCATGATACCCTCGTCGAGTAGCCCCTGAAACCAGTGATATCCTCTTCAGTACCAGGCTCAGAAACATTGCAAATCCCTTCTACATCCTTAGGAGCCAGAATGATCAATAAATTGATCGTGGGCCCTTAAGATATAGAAGAAGAAGAAGTTGTGCAATGGCTTAAAGCTTCTTAAGCGTAAACTGTTATCTTAACCCTGATCTGCAGTCACCCTACGTCTTATCACCTGATCTGCAGTCACCCTACGTCTTATCACCTGATCTGCAGTCACCCTACGTCTTATCACCTGATCTGCAGTCACCCTACGTCTTATCACCTGATCTGCAGTCACCCTACGTCTTATCACCTGATCTGAAGTCACCTTACGTCTTATCACGACATCGACTTGATGATTATACTATTTAAAAAAAGTCGGATTTCAACACCTCAACTGACATAATACGACCACCCACCGCCAACCACCCAACACTCCTTTTATTTTCGTCGTCCAGCCCCTTTGGGACAAAAGATCATGTGATCTCAAATCTTACTGCAGGTCGTTCAAAGTTTTTAGAATTTATTTTAATTAAATAAATAAATAAATAGCCTTTGTATGTTTGAATCTTCCTTGGTTATAAATGTAATAATGACGGAGTTAAAAGATATCTTTATTCTGCGGACTATAACTGTAATGAAAGATCGCTCCGAAAATATTGTTAGATTTTGGAATGAATTCCTTTTTTTTTTTTTTTTTGTATTTCGTTGGTTGTCAAATTCTTGGTGCTGGTAGTTGGTGGTGGCTTTGTTGTTTATAGTCTAATACAGTTGCGACGCTACACCAGGTCCCGCCCGGTCCCCGGACCTGGTAAAAAAAATTTTTTTAGATTTTGGAATGAATTCCTTTTTTTTTTTTTTTTTGTATTTCGTTGGTTGTCAAATTCTTGGTGCTGGTAGTTGGTGGTGGCTTTGTTGTTTATAGTCTAGTACAGTGGCGACGCTACACCAGGTCCCGCCCGGTCCCAGGACCTGGTAAAAAAACTTGGGACCTGGCAAATGACCTGGTCAATTTTTATTAGTTACTAAAATTGTATATATGCTCATTAAGCGTAAACTACATTACATGTCACGAGTGTGGATTCTCTAGCTAAACGTGTTTGACCTTACAAATATGATACATTCAAATAAATGTATTATAACAATTGACAATGTATGTACACTTTGGGTTAAATTAGTAGATTAATAAATATTACTTAATAAATACATTTTACTTTTAATACATTTATTTGGGACCCGCCAAATCTTTTTAAGACTTGCAAGGGACCCGCCAAGTCAAATTTGATGGCGTCGCCGCTGGTCTTGTAGTTGTGGTGCTGGTCATGATGTTGTTGGTGTTGCTGTTGGTTTTAAGTTTTTTGTTGTTGTTTTTTTTTTTAATTTCAAAATAAAAGAAAAGTCCAGTTACATTAATTTTACAACTTTGGGGCCAATGGTTTCAATACCAATATCCTCGGCGAAATAATCTAACGTCACTGACCTCCAGAAGTGGATGCCAGTCCCGTACCCTTCTTTCCACTTCATGTAACTATGCTTGGTATATTCCAAGATCTGCACAATGTCCGTTAGACCCTGTTTGCTACAATGAACACTATACGGAAACAAAATATTTCAACCTACATTTTTTTAAAGGTGGGTGAGGGAGGGAGGGGGGGGGATTCAAACTTAAACAATTCATAACCTGAAACAACAAGAGATCTGCGAAACAAGATACCATCATGATCGAGCATGTTAACTCTTAGAGTTAGTTCACTCATGCTTCTCTCCCTTTAACTTTCCCTCATGCCCCACTCAATCCAATTACCACCACCCCTCCCTTGGGCCACCGCTTTTGTCTTCAAGAATGATCATTTCTCTTCGTCTTTGTCCTCTGGACACGTGTTTACAAGGCCACGTTATCCCAGCTGTACAACGTCCAGCGACAAGTGCAAGCAGCCAATCGAACAACGCAATGTCCAACATCCACCACGTGTTTTCAAGGCCACGTTACCCCCCACCTGTACAACGTCCAGCGACAAGTGCAAGCAGCCAATCGAACAACGCAATGTCCAACATCCACCACGTGTTTTCAAGGCCACGTTACCCCCCACCTGTACAACGTCCAGCGACAAGTGCAGGCAGCCAATCAAACAACGCATGTCCAACATCCACCACGTGTTTTCAAGGCCACGTTACCCCCCACCTGTACAACGTCCAGCGACAAGTGCAGGCAGCCAATCAAACAACGCATGTCCGACATTCACCACAAGCGCCCGACTTTATCGAAATACAATTTACAAACCCTAGAGCGCCCGCTCCGTGCATCGTTCAATTAGTTCTAGGAAACAGTTAAAAATACGATAACATTTGTTGGCGTGTGACAACAACCCCCCCCCCCCATTCAACCCGTCTGCACAAAATCAACTTTTCGGGCATCGCTCGACTCCTTTTTCTCTGCTCGTGGCTCCGGCGGTGGGGGATTGATTTGAATGACGTACTTGAGTTTGGTTAATCCTGCCCAAATCACTTTCCCCATTCTTTGCAGCCCGCGGACCGGAGTTCAATGGGTTGAGGAAATGGGGGGAGTTCATTCAACTGACTACAGTCAATTAGAATCTTGCTTCAGTTGTCAACCCTGACTCGGATTGACTCGCAAACATTAATATATTCAGCGGAACTTCTTTTTTTTCTTTTTTTTTTAAAAGTGAATAGTAATAATGTATTATTTTATTCACGCTTGCACTTGAGCGGAGGGATTCCTGCATTGAACCATCGCAGCGCGTGGAGCGAGATTTGTTGCTCTGCTTGTATCGGGCGCTGAGGAGTCGATCGGTGCGACCTTTTCAGATGGGAAGCCATTGAGAAAAATGGCGGGACAAAGGAGGGGGGAGCAGGCACGTTTAAAGAGTCGGCGAGGGTTCGCCGGTGTGGAGCGGGCGTCATTGACATGGGGGAGGGGGGAGAATATTAACTTGATAAACTCGACGACGCTGATATTTGCTAAACTGGATTATTACCCTCCTGATCAGATGAAGCTATTTCCTAATCTGCAATGGGGAGTCACAGCCTCAAACCGTGTACAGGAAATAGAGTCGGGCAGCTACAGACTCGAAACGTGTACAGGAAATAGAGACGGCGAGAAAGGTTGTGTCAAAGCTACGGGCACAATGACATGGAGTATTGCACATTGAGACGAGTCGGTCTCATGTTCAGTAGTGAGTTTGGAACCATTTGCTCACCATGTTTGTTTTGAACGACATGTAGGAGGACATTTTGCGGTGGATCCACGATGTTAAGAAAACCGTCAAAGTAAACACCATGATTTTTCTAATTACACACAATGATTTTTCAAAGTACACACCATAATTTTTTCAGTAGCCCCCCCCCCCCCCCCCCCCCCCCCCAGCAGACGGACAACTGTACTCTTATTTTGACAGACGGCCGACTGTACCTACTATTGTATACCCGATGTAGAAGCGGACAGACCAATAAGAAGAATAGAATGTGAAAGATTATTGCTTTACTGTTGTATTTAATTTCAAATACAAGCCACAACAAGCAGTTGACTCTCTTTTCAGTAAACAATAAGTATTTGACGCTCTTTCCAGTACACAACAAGCAGTTGACTCTCTTTTCTGTACACAGCAAGCAGTTGACTCTCTTTTCAGTACTCTACACTCAACAAGTAGTTGACTCTCTCTTCATTCAGTACACCACAAGCAGTTGTATCGCAGACGTCAACACAATTGAGTTCTTTTGTTTTTAACAACAACTGTCGGCCAATATCTTAATGTTTTGGATACGATTCTTGTTGTCTTTAAAGACTTGATATTAACTTCGCCTTTGTTCGTGTTTCTTTCTGACTGGATGACAAAATCTTCGATCGGCTAATTGACCCTCTTCACGTCAACCTATCGAGGTGAAACTTGGCACATAAGGCGCGTTGCCGAAATTCTTTCAAATTTCCAGCCCCACCCCCAAAATTTAGTATTTCCTCTTTTTCAAGGGGGGAAGATGAAGGAAACCATGATGACACTGATTTCACAAAATAGCCTCGTACGTTTGGCGCGTCATATTTTCTTATGTTTTTTTATGAAATAGTTTGTAATTTAAATTTGCGTAAAAGCGGATTAGGACATTAGAAGATTAATTTAATACGAAATAATCTTTCAAGTGCAATGAACGATTAATACTAAAACTTCGTTTCTAAGGGTTCTCAATTCTTTTCTTTTTGCTTTGTTGGACCGTAGTTCGTCATGTGCTATGGGATGCAACGATAAATTTTCGACGTTTGTTAAGGAAAAAAAAACAAAAAAACACTTAATTATTTCTTTTAAAAGTTTTTTAAACGTATCATTATCTCCAGTTTTAGTTACATTTTATTTTAAGAGAAATTTCAGATGATCTGGCAAAATCGTATAGAAGCGCATCTGTATCTATTAAGGAGTTCAGTTACACTTGAACTGCTTCCGTATTTACCACAAAAAAAATATAAATCTAAACATTGTTAATAAAAAAAAAAGTTTAATTTGTTATCGTGGTATTGTTTGGACCTATCGCCATCTCCTGGGGACAATCCTTGGCCAGCTTCGTGTAGAAATCAACAATGTTGATCATCGAATTACAGTTGCCGCTGAAATCCATTTGTTTGTGGGACAAAAACCACGGCGTGAGGCCCGACTCCTGGCACGTGCACACGAGGTCAGGGTTTTCGCCGAACTGTATGTAACTGGGCGCGGTCAAGGCCGACAGCCCCAGGGGAAGCCTCGACACCCGTGTTTGTCCAAGAGATAGACTCTGGAGGGACGGGCAGCCGTCGAACGCGTGCCGTGATATTGTTTGTAGTGGGTTCGAGTCTAGGTACACGGATTTCAAGTTCCTCATGCTCACGAACGTCTCGTCCGTTATCTCGGTGATTAAATTGAAGGTGAAATCAAGATTGACGGCGCTTCGGGGAAGATTTCTCAGGTTGGTGATTTGATTATTTTGTAAATTCAAGTCGGTTATATTTGATAACGCCGAAATGGCATGTGGTATGCTCGCGAGTTTGCCGACGGAAAGAGTCAGCAAATACAGTTTATTGTTAACATGCGCCAGGGCGTCGTCGGGAAGAGTCACAATGGCACTGTTGAATATCTCCAACGTTTCCAGTGACGTGAAATCCGAGATCCAGGTCGGCCATGAGAATATGTTCGCGTCGGATAAATACATCTTTTTAACAGTGGCTCCGATTTGTTGAAGCACTGGGATATTCCAATCCGTGATTTCGGCATACACAATGTCGAACTCTTCCAGTCCAGTTAAGTGCATGAAAGCGCTGGGAATAATGGTGGTCAGGGAGGATTCGAAGCGGAGAACTCGAAGTGAGGAAGCGACACGGTCGAGTGCGCCGTCGGAGAACGACGTGATCCGGTTGTCCAGAAACTTCAGCGATGTCAGGCCAGGGGGAACGATGTTGTCTGATAGTGTGCTCACGTTCGTGGCCTGAAAGGAAGAAGGAAACAATAGACTTGCTGTATACAATGATGGTGTTTGAGTGTTGTGTGCTGAGTGAATTCTTATAGGTCAGTTCGAATTAATCTAGGCCCACTCAAATCAAGCTAGACGCACTCGAATTAATCTAGGCCTACTTAAATTAATCCAGGCCCACTCGAATTAATCTAGGCCTACTTAAATTAATCCAGGCCCACTCGAATTAATCTAGGCCTACTTAAATTAATCCAGGGCCACTCGAATTAATCTAGGCCTACTTAAATTAATCCAGGGCCACTCGAATTAATCTAGGCCTACTTAAATTAATCCAGGCCCACTCGAATTAATATAGGCCTACTTAAATTAATCCAGGGCCACTCGAATTAATCTAGGCCTACTTAAATTAATCCAGGCCCACTCGAATGAATCTAGGCCTACTTAAATTAATCCAGGGCCACTCGAATTAATCTAGGCCTACTTAAATTAATCCAGGCCCACTCGAATTAATTGAGGCCTAATTAAATTAATCCAGGGCCACTCGAATTAATCGAGGCCTACTTAAATTAATCCAGGCCCACTCGAATTAATCGAGGCCTAATTAAATTAATCCAGGGCCACTCGAATTAATCGAGGCCTACTTAAATTAATCCAGGCCCACTCGAATTAATCTAGGCCTACTTAAATTAATCCAGGCCCACTCGAATTAATCTAGGTCTACTTAAATTAATCCAGGCCCACTCGAATTAATCTAGGCCTACTTAAGTTAATCCAGGCCCACTCAAATTCATCTAGGCCCATTTAAATTCTTCAGTCATAAGTTAAAGGTTGTTTTTTTATTAATGCGAAATCTTGTGACTACAATAGCCACCCAAAAAATCTATCCATGATTATTTTAGTAGTGTAGCCATCATACCACAAGGGATAGAGCGCTCACATTAACCGGACATCCGGATAAGCTTGGAAAACTGATGAGGTTAGGTCCGAAACAAACCACATCTGTCTTTTGGTACTGATCAAACTGACATGCCTGGACACAATAATATACAACATTAGAGATGAGAAGTTAACGTATATTACATAGGCTGTAATACACAGGATTGAATCAATGAAAGTCTGGTAACAATGTGACTAAGTCTGGTAACAATGTGACTAAGTCTGGTAACAATGCGACTAAGTCTTGTAACTATGTGACTAAATCTGGTAACATTATTATATAGCTCAAATACGAAAAAACGAATTTAGGGCCCCTGGCCTAAAACGGAATATTTTAAAATGGTTATAATTATTTAAAAACCTTCGCGGGCGTACGCATAACATCTCACCAAAGTTTTATCGCATTCTGATAAATGGTATAGGAGCGCAGACAGAAATTATTTTTTACATGGCTTATATAAGGAAAAAAAAACAAATTTAGGGCCAGAGGGCCCGAAATGGAATATTTTATAAGGGTTGTTAAGACTCAACGAAATGCGCGGGCTTATGGACAACAGCTCACCAATGTTTTATCACAATCGCATGAATGGTGTAGGACCGCATACGGGACACATATACAGACATTCATTTATATATATAAAGGGGAAAAAAATATCATTTTTTCGTTATTTAACATTCCATAAACTATTGTTGGTGTTGTTGGTGCTGTTGGTGTTGGTCGTATCGACACCAACAACTCTATTCTTCTATTCACTCGAATTAGATGAACGTGCAAGCCTGATTGTCAATCAAAGTTTGATCTATCAAATAGCTTTATTAGCCCAAAATGGTATGTTAAAATAAAGCAATTGTCAACTGACAACTTTGTCTGTTTTCATTATTTCAGAATTTAAGTTCAGTGAGAATTGTGGTAGTCGTGTTCTTTATTAAATGGGAGGAAAATGCATCTATATGAAAAGCTAGAAATTTTATTTTTGTCTAAGAAACTTTTTGTAAAAAAACTATTGGTGTTTCCCCACCCACATATATATTTAGTTGCCACAAGTACAAGTGTTCTTTTTAAAAAATCTCTAAAATCTAATATTCAGAGTTTGAAACACACGCTAAATAAGAAATTAACCTTGAAACACATGTTAAACGAGAAATTAAACATTTTAATGTCTTCTTTTGTTATTCAACTTTCATGATGTCTGAGTTGAATATTTCTTTTGCCCATTTTCAACCCTAAGAGTCTACAGCATTATTTTTTTAAAAATGTCTGGGCTCCTGTAACATTACCTGGTCAGAGACCATATCACTTGGGGGGGGGGGGCAATCGATACGACAGATCTGTCCATCACTGGACTAATTTAAATCGCCAATAGCACCTGGCGTTAACTGTTAACCTGGTCTTCGCATATGTGACAGACAAACTCAACATACCGCTGGAAAGCAACCCTTGGACAATCTGAACGCTGCCAGCAAGAAAAGAAATGTCAAGGTCGCGTCTGCTGAGCACGCCATCTTTAAAACGCTTCTTATGAAATAAACGAAATTGATTAGAGTCATACATTCAATACTCGTTATTAAAACTGGAAGTATTGATTAGAGTCATACATTCAATACTCGTTATTAAAACTGGAAGTATTGATTAGAGTCATACATTCAATACTCGTCATTACCACTGGAAGTATTGTGAACATCATTGAGTAAAATAAATCAGGCATTAACCCATTCTAGTTCATTGCTGTTTTTTAAATGATATCCGTCACTTTGTCTCCATGTCAACATCTCACCAAGTCACCATTTCTCTATCTCACCATGTCAGTATCTCACCATGTCACTATCTCAGCATATCACTATCTCACCGAGTCACCATGTCACTATCTCAACATGTCACTATCTCACCATGTCACTATCTCAGCTCGTCACTATCTCAGCACGTCACTATCTCAGCACGACACTATCTCACCATGTCACTATCTCAGCATGTCACTATCTCAGCGTGTCACTATCTCAGCATGTCACTATCTCAGCATGTCACTATCTCACCATGTCACTATCTTACCATGTCACTATCTCACCATGTCATATCAAAATTTCGTTGACATTTGAAATAACGAACTGATTTCTCTAAGACTTCCGCCTTAAATACAATTTTTGTAAAAATTCAGATCACATACAGTAACATGACACGGAGAAATCATATGTGTTTTGACTGTAAGCTAGCATGGAGAAACAATGTGTGTAGTGACTAGAACTTAACACGGAGAAACAACGTGTGTAGTAACTAGAACCTATCATGGAGAAGCAATGTTTGTAGTAACTAGAACCTAGCATGGAGAAACAATGTTTGTAGTAACTAGAACCTAGCATGGAGAAACAATGTTTGTAGTAACTAGAACCTAGCATGGAGAAACAATGTGTGTAGTAACTAGAACCTAGCATGGAGAAACAATGTTTGTAGTAACTAGAACCTAGCATGGAGAAACAATGTTTGTAGTAACTAGAGCCTATCATGGAGAAACAATGTTTGTAGTAACTAGAACCTAGCATTGAGAAACAATGTTTGTAGTAACTAGAACCTAGCATGGAGAAACAATGTTTGTAGTAACTAGAACCTAGCATGGAGAAACAATGTGTGTAGTAACTAGAACCTAGCATGGAGAAACAATGTTTGTAGTAACTAGAACCTAGCATGGAGAAACAATGTTTGTAGTAACTAGAGCCTATCATGGAGAAACAATGTTTGTAGTAACTAGAACCTAGCATTGAGAAACAATGTTTGTAGTAACTAGAACCTAGCATGGAGAAACAATGTTTGTAGTAACTAGAACCTAGCATGGAGAAACAATGTGTGAAGTAACTAGAACCTAGCATGGAGAAACAATGTTTGTAGTAACTAGAACCTAGCATGGAGAAACAATGTGTGTAGTGACTAGAACCTAACACGGAGAAACAACGTGTGTAGTTACTAGAACCTATCATGGAGAAACAATGTTTGTAGCAACTAGAACCTAGCATGGAGAAACAATGTGTGTAGTAACTAGAACCTAACACGGAGAAACAACGTGTGTAGTAGCTAGAACCTAACATAGAGAAATAATGTGTTTAGTAAATAGAACCTAACATAGAGAAACAATGTGTGTAGTACATGTAACCTAACCACGGAGAAACAATGTGTGTGGTACATGTAACCTAAACACGGAGAAACAATGTGTGTGGTACATGTAACCTCAACAGGGAGAAATAATGTGTGTAGTAACTAGAACCTAGCATGGAGAAACAATGTGTGTAATACTGGTACACGTAACCTAAACACGGAGAAACAACGTGTGTAGTAACTAGAACCTAACATGGAGAAACAATGTGTGTAATACCGATTCATGTAACCTCAACAAGCAGAAACAACGTGTGTTGTGGTAGTAGTAGCTGGAACGAAACACGGACAAAGAATGCCAGTAGTAACTGGAACTTTAACATAACGTGGAGGTGTGTTATTACTTAATTACCGGTACAATAATTATTATTTTTTAAAATACTTTCTAGTTCTTGTTATTTCTGTGGAAGACTCTTAGCCGAAACGTTCGTCTTGTAACTTGTAATGTCCCGTCTTTCTATTTCAAGCTTCCACATACCTTGTTCTCCTTTTTATTCACACAGTCTGAGCGCAGTCTTACATTTATTACAGTTACTGTAACTCAAAACAAGAAGATAATTTTTTTTTTTTTATTAAAATAAGTAGTTCATGTCATGGGCGTCTATAGGAGAGAGAACAAGGTGGGGTTCTTGTCCCCTCGTGGATCGTGGGGCTACGGCTAAATCAAACACACATAAATATAACGTTCTTAAAATTACTAATGTAGGCCTAATTCTTTTTGTAAATTTCTGTCAATGATCATACCAAAGCTTCGCACCTTCATCATATCACCACAATTCTCTTTTAATAAAAACTAAGTGGTGACGCCCTTGGCCAAAAAACCCTGGACCAGATTATTTATCTCAATTTCACCCTATGAATGTGTTGTTTACTACTTGAACTATTTTTTGTCTCCTTTCAATTATCCTCTTGAAATTGTTGGATTTCTTCATATTAACACAATGTTGATGATGGTGGTGATGTATCCTCACTAGACGTCTGGCACTCATCTGTATCTGACATCGATCCAGATACAAGAACACCAAAGACGACCAACGGTTTTGAGGAGTAGTTCGGTTACAAAAGTTCAAGTTGAGGCATCAACCTATTCTGTAGGTCTAAAATGAGGCAGTGGCGTCCCTGTCTCATTTGAAAGATGAAACCTTGGTTGTTGAGTTGTCAGCTGTTGGATTCAGCTGAGATTGGGCCAACATTGCTCAAACACAACTATCAACAACAATAACACTGTTTGTGGCTTTTTTGTTGTTTTTAGTGCAAGGCTGTTCTCATACCAGGAAGTTAGCACGTCGGTACTCTGTGAACAGGAATCGTAGTCCCAAGCTTCCCACCTTGACTGCCGCCCATTCGCGTAACAACAAAGTGGACATCTCGGTTTACATAACACGTCATTTTGCAGGTTTGCAACTGATCTTTGAGAAGGAAAACTCTAAATTCAAATCCGGAGATGGAGTCCCGTAGGTGGATAACATGGACACAATGAAACAACTCCTGTGACGTCACTGGTGCAAAGCTGTATCATCATCCACATATGATGTTCCCTTGGGTTATCCAGCGGCGTGGAGGGAGGCGATTTGATGTGTTGGGAACCAGCTTATAATTATAATCCTAAAAAAGAATACTCCCAGGCCTTGTGGATTTCGTTCTGCGAAGTCTGCACCATCAACACTGGGATTATGGGGGGATGCCAGCAAGATTGTGCAGATGAAAATAAACATTTCTTTTCGTTTTAATAAAACCCAGTAACCTGTTTTGAAAAATATATAATTTAAGTAAAAAATATGAAAGTAACTTCCTGGCCCTTTATCAATTTGACCACAAAATGTTGGTCCATAGGTCAAGTAAAACCTGCTTCTGGTGGACTTGAACTTCAAGAAAGAATGATATATTAAATTGAAATTTTATATAATAAGTTGAAATTGTATTTGCAACAAATGTTTAAAAACTAAGAGAAAAAATCAAATACAACAAGCTAATACAACAGGACTATTACAACAAACCCACAACAATTAATTTATACTGTTTCTTTCATTCAGAAACATTCTTTACTAAACACTGCTTACGTAACAGTTTTATTTCAAAGTATTAAGCTTCAAAAATGCCATTCTTGAATGGATGTTACCTTACTTTGACAAATACAAGTCATTTCTTCATTAATCATAGGCAAGACTTTTCATTCAATAAAAGATAAGTTCATTTTTTTTGCAGAGTATTTCTCAACATTGTACAGATCTCAATTTTTCTCCCAAAAATAAGTGGCCTACTACAACTATGATAGACAAAATCATCTAAAAATTGGTTGACAGCATAAAACCATTGAGCTGGCCTCTTACTTTTGTTGCCAATGAACAACAGAATAAAAACAACATACGGGGACATTTAAAAAAAAAAAATCAATTCAAAGCTATTCATTATAATCCTTTATTAATATTGGATTGTCTTTGTTTAGACTTTTCTTCCAATTATGCAGACCATTCAAGTAACAATGGAAAGAAGAAACAAGAACACTCTCCCACGCATTTATTCAAACCGAGGTCATTTGGAAATTATCCACACATATCAATAAAATGTACATCACTGTGGCGTTAATCAAATCAGCTACTCCATATTTTAAAATTGTAATGGTATGTGTTTGTAGTATAATCTCCCTATATATTGGATGATCAACTGTCAGAAACCTTACTTCATATTCTCCATATTTTTCATTTTTTCATTTCTTATTATTATTTAATTTCAAAAGAGGTTTCCAATTTGCTGACTGTCATTACTTTTAATTCAAGGATTCTCAAACTTTGGGATTGCCACTTTAATTAAAATGTAAAAGAAAAAAAACAAAATTAATGTATGGCCACGTGCATATTTCATAATTCTCCCTTGGGTTTCTGTAATGATTCACTGTCTGATAGGGTGCCACTTTGGGCAATGGAATGGAACACCCCTGTTACATTTAGGCTACGACAGTCTGAGAATCACTACATTAATTCATTCATTATTTTTATAACATAAGAAAATCAAAGCACAATTTGCTACCAGGTGACACAGTCATTACAAAGGTGACACTTTTGAAGTTAGTATGTCAGGATATTCATCTGCATCTGTAGATCCAGCTCCAAATGTTCCACATTACAGACTTTAGTAACCTTCATAAACACCTTGACTGCCACCAAAACTCCTAGCTCCTCCACCCCAGGTGCCACCGTCTCCTCCACTGGAATCTCCACCCCCAAAGCCTCCTCTACCCCTGCCACCAAATCCACTCCTGTCACTGGTCCCGTATCCACCAAATCCTACACCACCCCTGGCAGCAAAGCCACCCCCATATCCCCCACCCCCTCCACCCCCACACCCCACACCACCCCCACACCAACACCCCCCCACCATCCTACACCCCCCCTGGCAGCAAAGCCACCCCCATATCCACCACCCCCTCGACCCCCATATCCTCCGCCACCCCCACCGTAACCACCACCACCTCTTCCACCATATCCTCCCCCACCTCTTCCACCATATCCTCCCCCACCCCTTCCACCATAGCCTCCCCCACCCCTGCCACCAAATCCCCCTCCTCCACCATATCCACCTCCACCTCTGCCGCTCCCAAATCCTGAAGCTCCATCCATTCTTCCCATCTTTGGTGGAGGTCGACCTCTGTTGAAATTCCCACTGAAAAGAAAAATGCATACAGAATTAAAGATTAAAAGGTGAATTTAAAACGAAATGCCCCCAAGTGTGAAAAGATAACCCCAAACAAAGAGCATTAATTAGGAATTTTATAAAGTGTGTTACTTTTTTGCATGTTTTGTCAAGTCATTTTGGTAAATGGGACGTCCGCAATTTGTGACCGCCATCACTTGGGCAGGTTATGTGCCTAGAGAGCCTCTTCATGAAAAAGTCACTGTTACAAATGAAAAAATCTCACCTTTCTTGCACAAATCCATGTTTGCCGGCCTGGGGCCGAGATAATGCTCTGACCACAGCGAGCAGGTTTTCTTCCTGGGGTTTCGGAGTAGCGATCTCCTCTGGCTCTTTGGTGGCTCTGATGATAAGTGCCTCGAGCGGGGCTCTCAGGGCCACCACCTTGGCAGCGGTGTAGGGGTTGGTCTTTAAACTTATCCTGAAATTGATTGAGAACACTTGAACAAATCTAAACTGCTGAGTAAGGGTTATTTTTTTAAAACTTCTCTGCCTACTAGTTGCAGATATACTGCCTATCAGAACTGCCTCTACAGACAGACTGCATACAATTCAGCGGTGAGATTTTTTAAAAAGTATGCATTTTATTTAATTTGCAACCAACTCTTATTTTGTTGCAGTGACTTGTCAATAACAAAACTTTTACTGCCATACAAACAAAATTGTGAGTTAGATGTATGAAGTATGTCTCAGTATCTTATTAGATGCATGAAGGATGTCTCAGTATCTTATTAGATGAATGAAGGATGTCTCAGTATCTTATTAGATGAATGAAGTATGTCTCAGTATCTTATTAGATGAATGTTTTTGAAGGGGGTGTATAAATATTATTAAACAGAAGTGGGTGGTTCCCCTTCCTCTTTCAAAGTCCATAAACAAAAGAAGACATCTTTTTATATCTTTGGAGTCTTCTTTTATTTCTTTTCCCATTAATTTCAAGGTCCAAGTTTTTGAGCTGTTAATTGTGGAAGTTGAAAAAGATAAACCAATGAGTCCAGCTGAGGTACCCACCAATTGTCCAGGACAACGTGCTCCTCTTGTTTGGTCACACTTCTGGCACCAAACAGCAACAGCTGGATGGGGGAGACGTTGGTCATCTGTTTGCACGACACAGCTCTGGTGCGGATCTGAAGTGGATGTCAAATAAGTCAACTATATTACTGTCATTCCAACCAAATAACTGAGAGGAGCAATCCTTCTATTATTAGAGGAGCAATCCTTCTATTATTAGAGGAGCAATCCTTCTATTATTAGATTCATAAAAAGTTCAATCATTAAAGCAATCCCACTATCTTATAAGCATTAAAATCAAATGACAATGTCTGTGTAAAGTATGTCTGTGTAAAGTATGTCTGTGTAAAGTATGTCTGTGTAAAGTATGTCTGTGTGAAGTATGTCTGTGTGAAGTATGTATGTGTGAAGTATGTCTGTGTGAAGTATGTCTGTGTAAAGTATGCCTGTGTGAAGTATGTCTGTGTAAAGTATGTCTGTGTAAAGTATATCTGTAAATTATGTCTGTGTAAAGTATGTCTATGTGAAGTATGTCTGTGTGAAGTATATGTCCTTAAAGACGGGCACTATTATTATTTGTTTACATTTGCATAATAAAAACCTCAACTCTCGCTACAAACTGAATATTTTTTTCCTTTTTGTCATTCATTTGACAATAAATTTGATATGCTTGACATTCTTTGAGCAATAGATTTGTCATCTTTGACATTCTTTGAGCAATATATTTGTCATGTTTGACATTCTTAGAAAAAAAGATTTGTCATGTTTGACATTCTTTGACAATAAATTTGACATGTTTGACATTCATAGAAGCTACATCTAAAAGTAAAATAATATGTAACTATACAATAAATACAACAAATCCCTTTTCTAAATGTTTTCTCAAAGAGACCTGTACGTAAAACATCTGAGCTGACCTTTTCACCAAAGATAAAGAATGGCGAGGGAAACTCTATGGCAAAGTTACTGCAGTTGACTGATGACTTGTGCACAAGGGCAGACTTGAACTCTTGGGTTAAAACCTTGCGTTTCTCTTTGTGATAACAGACGTTGGGGTACAGTCCTATACACAGTAGGGTGATGGCCTGGAGGAGACACACATATATTTAACAGACATTGGGGTACAGTCCTAAAGACAGTAGGGTGATGGCCTGGTGGAGACACACATATATTTAACGGACATTGGGGTATAGTCCTATACACAGTAGGGTGATGGCCTGGTGGAGAAAGATATTTAACAGACATTGGGGTACAGTCCTATACACAGTGTGATATTAGACGGTATCACTAGGACACAGCAGTCCTCTACACAATTGTGTGATATTAGACGGTATCACTAGGACACACATAACAATTGGCACTTGGATACACATAACAATTGGCACTAGGACACACATAACAATTGGCACTAGGACACACATAACAATTGGCACTAGGACACACATAACAATTGACACTAGGACACACATAACAATTGGCACTAGGACACACATAACAATTGGCACTAGGACACACATAACAATTGGCACTAGGACACACATAACAATTGGCACTAGGACACACATAACAATTGGCACTAGGACACATAACAATTGGCACTAGAACACACATAACAATTGGCAATGCAACATGTTATAAATAGTATGGTCTGTCAAATTGTCAGTGACACTTATTTCAAACCGCCATTAATAAAATTGTGTGGACAAGTGTGGACCCTACTGTGTCAGCATTCAAACTATTTTTAAAAATTTAGAAACCAACATCTTTCCAGAAACTGACATCTTTCCAGTCGGTCCAACATCTTTCCAGATGCACGACATCTTTCCAGAAACCAACATTCATCCAGAAACCAACATTCATCCAGAAACCAACATTCATCCAGAAACCAACATCTTTCCACAAATCAAAGTCTGACTTACAATGTCCAGTTTGTTGTCCGGGCCTGTGAAATTGAAACCTTGAGCCAGTAGACATTCCTCAGGAAAGCCAGCATTGACCAGGATGTCTCTGAGTTGGTTCTGTGGACAATAAAATAAATCTGCTTTTATAAGTGTCTCCTTGTGAATGACTCTCCCTACCATTGTATTATTTTGCCTGGACTTCTATCTAAGACTTATGTTAAGTGACTCTCCCTACCATTGGATTATTTTGCCTGGACTTCTATCGAGGACTTATGTTAAGTGACTCTCCCTACCATTGGATTATTTTGCCTGGACTTCTATCTAAGACTTATGTTAAGTGACTCTCCCTACCATTGGATTATTTTGCCTGGACTTCTATCTAAGACTTATGTTAACTCTTTCCCTCCCGATCAACGCTCCCATCGTCGATTTGAAATGAAGATTTTGGCGTAAAACTTGTTTATTTCGGTTCTTTTCTTAGCTATTGATATTTAGTAATTTTAAATCAATTCTAGAATGATTTCCCTTTCATAAACATCCGGTTTTACTCTGTTTGAACGAAGAACAAATTGTTTGAAGCAGATGTTTTGATTGTCCATTTTATTTTTGTTTAGAAACATGAAATCTTGACCTGACCCATCTGGTGATCGATCTAATAAGGGTGGAAAATATTACTCTGATGATGATTCAGACAGTGATTTTATGATTTCAAATGCAGAGGCTGATTCTGTTGAATCGTATGATTATAATCATATTATTAGTAGTAATAGTGGCAAAATAATGAAATGGGTAATTCATCAGCTGTTGAACAACCAGCCCCGCCCCCTAGGTAAAGTGCACATCCATATGGATTATTTTTCAGGCTTACTATTGCTAAACCCAGATGGAAATATGTGACAAATGTATAGTAAATTTTCCATTTACTCTTATAAATGTTAGTACATACAAGGATACAGTGCAATTATTTTTTAAATAGCAACAGATTGTTTCCAGTGGAATTAGTTAAATTTTTTTGCACATTTTTTATGTGGTGGTGACAATGGATAATTTGCTCTGAGGTTTAATGTTTTCTTTTTTGAAAGTTGACCTTTATTATTTGTGATGCACATATGGATATAGTTCAGGAAAAAAACATTTGTGTTACACTTTGGATTATGTTTTTCTCTTCTTGTCACTTGGAATGAGCGTTTTGTGACATTTGGTGAGTTTTTTAAAATAAATTTTTATTTTCCTTAAATCACAATCACATTTATTTATTAAAATTTAAACCCAAATCTTGTTTGCTTGCAAAGAGCATGCATTTCCCTTTAATTCCATACCAAAATTAACATTTTCTGATTAAAAACAAAAACGTTATGAAGGTTTAGAGAAAACATAGTAGTGCGTAACAAAAACCCTAAATAGATAATTCCGTCAGAATGTGGAAAATAATTCCGGAGGGAAAGAGTTAAGTTACTCTCCCTACCATTGGATTATTTTGCCTGGAACTCTAAGACTAATGTCTGACCTGATAGGTTCATGATGCCTGACATCACCGGCTGCTTATTCAAGTGTCAAATAAAAGACATGGATGAATTGTGTCATTTTTAAATGAGAAATTTGTCTTAAATGTCTTGCAGTTTCATTTGGTGTCACTTAACAATACAGAACAAATGTTCTAATTGTCTTCTAACATAACAGTTACCTTTGAAATTAACCCCCATCAGGATACAGAGCGCCTGCTCTGATTGAAATTAACCCCCATCAGGATACAGAGCGCCTGCTCAGATTGAAATTAACCCCCATCAGGATACAGAGCGCCTGCTCAGATTGAAATTAACCCCCACCAGGATACAGAGCGCCTGCTCAGATTGAAATTAACCCCCACCAGGATACAGAGCGCCTGCTCAGATTGAAATTAACCCCCATCAGGATACAGAGCGCCTGCTCAGATTGAAATTAAACCCTCACCAGGATACAGAGCGCCTGCTCAGATTGAAATTAACCCCCATCAGGATACAGAGCGCTTGCTCAGATTGAAATTAACCCCCATCAGGATACAGAGCGCCTGCTCAGATTGAAATTAACCCCCATCAGGATACAGAGCGCCTGCTCAGATTGAAATTAACCCCCATCAGGATACAGAGCGCCTGCTCAGATTGAAATTTAAAACATAAACCAAGACTTTGATAAAGTGTTGAGACATTGAGAGAGGGTTCTCACCTTTGCCTCCCATGTCATCCTCAAAGTCTGCATGTTCAGTGACTTGTTCTCACAGAAATTGATTTCATCATGTTCTCCTCCACACCTGACAAGATAACATCAAGTAGATTTGTGGCAAATGTATCACTTAACATGAGTTTCACAGAGTCAAAACTTGATAAAGACATTTTCTGACCAGACATTTATCAAATTTCAGCTATTTTACAGATGGTTTTGATAATAGGAGTCAGTAATTAATTACTGCATATCTTAAAAAAGATGAAATTAATGAGTACATCAAAAAACACAAATTCATTTTAGAAAAAAAACACAAGGATATTTTATAAAAAAAACAGAAGCTGAATATCTATTGCCAGAAATGTCTTGCCAAATAAACAAAACCACTGGTCAAAACTAAGAGCACATTTAACTTTTGACACAAAGATGCCAGGATATTTTATTAAAAAAACAGAAGCTGAATATCTATTGCCAGAAATGTCTTGCCAAATAAACAAAACCACTGGTCAAACCTAAGAGCACATTTAACTTTTGACACAAAGATGCCAGGATATTTTATTAAAAAAACAGAAGCTGAATATCTATTGCCAGAAATGTCTTGCCAAATAAACAAAACCACTGGTCAAAACTAAGAGCATATTTAACTTTTGGTGCCATTATTCCAATTCTCTCTTTTTAAGTCAACTTTTTAATGCAGCGTACAAAATGATTCATAGGATTGACATCTTATAAAACATCCATACAACATCCCCATGACACAGTTTACTGTTTAAAAATAAAATATTTCAATGTTGTGAGCTAAGCTGTCCACCCACCTGGCTTCCTCCCACATCTGGAAGGCATTGAGTAAAGCAACATGGTCGCTGGCCCGGCTCCCGGCCATGTTCTTGTGGACCCAGCCCAGCCTCCTGCGGTCAGTGGGGACAATGAAGGGCTCCGGGAAAGTGGTGCTGGCCGCTATGGTGCACATAGCATCTCCAACACTGTTGATCAAAATATGCATTAAAATCATTTTATAATTTTATAAAAAATTTTATAAAAATGATTGTTAAGAATTTATTATCTCAAAATTCAGGGTTAAATAAGTTTATTTTCGGTTTTTCCTTTAAACTCTTCATCAATTTCATCTTTCTTAAAGTCAGATCATGGTAGAAAAGAATTATTCTTACTAAAAGATGCATCCGTAGATGATCATTTTGCCAAGCCTTGGTTCAATGGGCATCTTGGCCAACAGCCTGCCCAGTGGAGTCAGTTCATCGTTGGCATCCAGTGCTCTCATTGCTGTCTCAGTCAAAACAACATAATCTCAGTCATGCATTTTGAACATGGGGTGCATTTTAATTACTTTTCATTTAGTGATCAAATGTTTGTTTCACAGATCAATTTATGCTGTGTACATCAGACTGCTTCAGACTTGTGGAGTAAATTACCTATAGAGACTATGCAATAAGTAATGTTCAGATTTGAGATGACACTGCCCCCCAATAGAGATAACTTGATGATATTTCAAACTTCTTTGCAATCTTGTAAAAGTGCTAAGAACAAAAACTAGAGGACCCCAGCACAATGTTAAAACAGAATAAATTTTCAGTTTAACCCATATGTTGGGTGTTCACACATGAGACTTTCATCTTAGTTGCCAGATTAGAGAAACCACTGAACACATGGAGGATATCCTTAGTTTTAAACAAGACATCTTACATTTTTTTATATTCCAATTAAGCCCTCTCTACTATTTCATGTACCCTCTCTTCCATTACTTTTTTGCCTCATCTTTCATTGCTCCTAGACCTCCTCCCCAGCCCCTCGTTCTGCTCCACACACACACTATAACTATTATGAGACGAACCCCTAAGCATGACTTCAGCTTCGATGATGGCGTCTATTGGAGGAGGTTCAACGGCCTTGGCTAAGAACATGCCGATAGGACCAAGTCTCAGGAGCTTGATCGACAGGGCCAGCTCGTGTAATGGTGTCCGGAAAATCTCTGGTGTAGCGTGTTGCTCCAATCTGAATTGATGAACAGAATTTTATTCATAGCTCAAGAGTTTTATTATCAAAACCTGTGCAATTGGCAATATTTTCTTTTGATATCAATGTAATATGAAACTTGTACAAGGTCCACACTACAACCGCTGTAATTACAAAAGACAAGCTGTTTAGGACAAGGTCCACACCTTAACCACAGTTTATTTTCGGTTGCTCCCAAAAGTTAATGAGGCTTTCCGTGGTCTACCAAAAGTCAGACTGTCACTCTCTCTTATTCGTTATTGCTCAAAGTCTTGCTGTCATAAAATGATATATGTCTAATCCTCTGTGTACACTGCTCACAGCAGCATAATCACCTACTTTTCCAATACTTCCAAAATAAAATTACAACTAGGCTTAGGCAAGGGTAAACGGTTTTGTGGGGAAAAAAATCCAAAGGGAACGGTAATATTTATAGTATTGTCTTATTTATTTTTTTTCAAAAATAAAAATTTGGAACCCTAGGTTTATTCATTCATTTGTGACATTCATTTTGATTTATCATTATCATGCTCATCAATGTTGTTATAGGCAAAGGTGAACTGCATTGTGAAGAAAAGAAAATCCTTGGGAAATATCCGAATTTTCTTATTAATTTAAAAAAAAAAAAAAATTTATATAAAAATTAGGGAACCTCATGCTTATTCCTTTAATTAATTTATAGAAATTCATCATTATCATGCTGATAAACATTGTCATTGACAAAATCAACATTTTCCACAAAACAAGTCACAAGTATGGAAACAAATTTAGAGAAAGAGAATAATGAAACCTTTAGTAATATTTAAAAATTTATATTTATTTATTTCAATTTTGTATAATTAGGAATAAAATAGCCCTCAATTTAAATCATAAGCTTACACACACGTGTGCATGTATCACTGATTCGTGTAATCATTATGTAGTAGGCCTACTGTATCATCAAACATGGCTCAGATTTTGTTCAACTATTGTTTAATCTGGGTCCAATATATTATTAGCCAATAAATGATAATTGCAGATTAACGAAAAATTTAAACATCGACCAATAAGAATGCATGTTTCAATGAATAGATATGGTTTAGTAGGACAAAATGTTCCTTCAAGGCTTATGTCTGGACACTTTAGTGGACCATACCAATACAAAATACATAGGATACCAATTATGTCTAGGTGGCATTGTAATTATAACAGCAACGGGTGGCCAAGGGTTATTTTGAATAAATTTTGCCCAACCCACAACCCCCCCCCCCCCCAAGTCAAAATGTTCTCTTACCATACTACTATGAAATACATTTTCTAACACTTTCAATTGCTTTATAATTGAAATGGTAAAAGTCAAAGTATTCATCGGATATTTATCTATTCAAATTCACGTGGAAAAAAAATATGTAAATATTCATACTTTCCCCTAATCAGTTTTCGACATCTGCAGAAAATAGCTAAATTGTTCGGTTTTCTGCAAAAGTCTCATTAAGCTTTTCGTTTTGGCAGTCTAAAATTGAAGTAATTTTAAAAATTAAAACCTTAAAAAAACGTACCTTTGGAATCGTGCTTTGCTACACAGATGGAAAGCAAAGCCAGCTCGCACACGACCGGCACGTCCCCGCCTCTGCTCCAAGTTGGTCTTGCTGGCCCAGACGGTGGCGTAGTTGGTCATGTTGTTGTGGGATGTAAACAGTTTCATTTTTACCCTAGACAAACATTAGGCATCAATGTAAGATGAGGAGGCATCAATGTAAGATGAGGAGGCATCAATGTAAGATGAGAAGGCATCAATGTAAGATGAAGAAATGAAATTAACTATGTTGTTATTGAATATTTAGATTTATAAAACAATGTACAATGTTTTTATTTCTTCCAATTTCCAGCTCCTGTAACATGTACTATAAATATATAGACACAAACTGCACAAAGTTATCTTGGAACAAGTACATGTGATTACAGATGTCCCTTTAAAAATTTAGCAATAGTGAACTGCTCAAAAACTGGTGAGCTTATTAATCAAAGAATGTGGGGGGGGGGGGGGATGGGGTCCATTTCTTTAAACCTAAATTTTGACTCGGATTACTTTTTTTTTTTTTTGGAACTCTCCCGTGTTTTATTATCCCTTTAAAAATTTAGCAATAGTGAACTGCTCAAAAACTGGTGAGCTTATTAATCAAAGAATGTGGTGGGGGGGGGTATTGGGTCCATCTCTTTCAACCTAAAATTTGACTCGGATTACTTTTTATTCTTTGTGGAACTCTCCCGTGTTTTATTAACCGTCATGGTCAGATCACAAGTTTATGCTATGTGTCTGGGTTGAAAATTTTAACAGTGAGCAATGATTTTTTCCTTTTGGAACTTTCCTTTATTTCGTACCACTTTGACTCAGTCATGAATGCGCTATGACGCATTCCCGGTGGTGCGATTTAATTGCTATGGGCTCAAGATGCATTTGTTTTAAAGTAATGAGTGATTGGTTTGTTAAGCTTGAGCTGGGTGCTGGAATTTCCATTCTTTCAAATGTGAACACTATTGTAACTAGTTTGTTTATTGTGCGATGTGTCTGAACACATCATATGATTAATTAAAGGATGCCTTTATTTCAAACCATCTCGTCAAGTTATTTGAAGGGAGAAAGAAAACGGAGCTTAGACTCTGATCTGATAGTGTTTTGTCTGTTGCCGTTGAGAGAGGGACCTACCCCTAGACGGCCTTTCACAAAATTGACCACCCCCCAAATGATATGATTTCAAAATATGTAGGAACCAATTTCCATGAAACAAATATATCTTTAAGGCATTAGATATTATTTGTGTCAGTATCTTACTAATGAAATAATTGGTTTTGACTTGTACTTGAAATTTAAATTGATGAGGCATGCACTGTGACTTACTTGCATGAGTCTATGACATAGACAACATCGTCAATGGTGACACTGGTCTCTGCTATGTTAGTGGACAAAATTATCTGTCGACACAGATCAGGTAAAATATGATTGAACAACACATATTAAGAAACATATGATTGAGCAACACAGAACAAGTAACATAGGATTGAACAACATTTCAGATTGAATAACATATTACTGAAGTATATTTCCCTGGCATTATGACAAGATGGCTCAATGATGTTGATTATAAACATAACCTGTCTACCCAAATCCACAGCATGTGGCTAATTTATTCTGCGCTGTGAAAAATTGTAATAGGAAAAATATTGTCCACCAATGACATATGAAGGTAAGCTATGGCTTCTAAGGCCTCAAAACTTATCTTGCCATTAGGTTTAAGCCTCCCTGCTAGAATAATAACGTGGTTTGGCTCTGGTTCATCCTAATTGTTAAGTTTACCTATTTTTCTAAAAATTTTATCCAGTTTTTTTTTCCTTCTTTTTTCTTTCATAGTCTTTTGGGCCGCTAATTATTTTTCTGATGAAGGTTTTGTGGGGAGGACTTGTTTTGAGACCGCTGTATTGTTAAGCTGTACACTGCCATGTGACAATACCTTGGTAACTCCTGCCGGCACTGGTTCAAATACTTTTCTCTGATCTTCCCTTGGAATGGAAGAATGGAGCGGGAGAATACGATATCTGGAACTGCCTGTATGAGTTTTAAATATTTTGTTCAAATAGTTAATATAAAAATCAAGCTGATACAACAGAAACAAAATAAAATGTTAAAATTTACAGTGATTAAATATCTTACATTTAAATGAATTCAACTCCTCCACATTATAAGTTTTATCCGAAGACATTTGATTTGCATTGAAATGCCACTGGACTGAGTGCTTTACAAAATCATCAAATGCCACTGGACTGAGTGCTTTACAAAATCATCAACAAAAGAAATGATCTGTTGTTAACTCCGTTGAATAACTTAACTAATTATTTTTAAAATCAGCGGTGCAATGAATGATCCTTGAAAAATTGTTTAGTTTTATTTGTTTAAAAACTGCAGAATTATATTTTCATACATTCAATATTTCGGTCTACACTTTTTAAAAATTCTCCGGTTTGACCATGGATTGAAAATTAAACTTTTTTTTTTTTAAATCATATTTGCAATTGTTATGTAGACAACGTGTTTACGTCATATTGCTCTGTGCTGTGAAATCTAGCTGACCCCAAGTATGGCAGCGCGATTAGGGTCTGGCGTACTAATTATAGTCTCCCTTTGACCCCGGCTACAATTAACAATCTATGGCCTGTTTCATGATTTGAATATTGTAGAATATTGTAGAAACAGCTGGAAGCGAGAACAATGAGTAGATTTCTAGAATTGTCTAAAGAAACAGGCAATACCGGTATATAAAGCCGAGGAATTGAACGACAGACGGCAGATTCAGAGACGAGAGTTATTTTGAGCGTGTGCTATTGTTTTGCTTTACGAGACAGAGATTTGTTTACTGTGTGTGTGTGTAGATTCCTTTTCATCATTGTACATTTTTACAACATTGTTTCTTCTTTGACACTGTACCTGTACAAGCCAATCATTATACTGTAAGTCAATAGCTTTAATTGTATTTCTTTTTCATTTTGTAATTTATAATTAACCTAATAAAATTTATTAATTGTAATCAGCCCTGGTTTGAGTATCGTATTCTTCGTTGTTGTATTTATCATTTGGTATCGTCTTTTGTTGTGTACTGTTTTAGAACGAGCCGTACATTAAATTAAATAAGAGATTAATTTCTCCATACTGATAACAGTATGTAATAGCAATTTATAATGTCAGACAGGAGTTCTATGTTGCTGACCATAATTAATAGTGTCTTTTTACTATTAAAAGACAAGACCATAATGTGTTCTTAGCCAACACCACCGCCTTGACACAGAGAGCTATTTTAATCTTACCAAACTCGGGACTCTGCTGGAGATGTCTTTGGAGCATAAAAATCAGATTCCATCCAGGCAGGAAAAACAAAACCGCTCCTGGCACACCCAAGTCCTTAATGTAACGCAGCAAAGCCTGCAGAGCAGAGATTGACCATCATTTTAACACTCAGATTTGAAGTTTATGTTTATGAAGAAGAGCATATAAAATATATACCAATGAGATTTTCAACCAAAACAAATGTATACTGGAGTGCATTCAAATACCTCAAAAATTGTTATCTTCATTGAAAAGGGTCAAAAATGTTTTGTTTATATCAGGATAATATAAAAGTTAAATATTGAATTTGTCGCTACTGATAACACTCTCTAAGCTTCTTTTAAGCATAGTAAAATGGTGCATAAAAATATTTCAGCCCTCTACAAATGACTGTCTATTATAGGCTATTTAAGAAACAAAGGTTTGCAAACTATAAAGATTCGTCCTAGACATCTTGCCAACTTTATACTGTTCCTTGCTCCTTGCCCAACAATGCTACAAATTTACCAATAAAATTCAGAAAGCTCTTTTACCTCTACAAGATCAAAAGGGATTTCTTTCTCCGGCAGCTGGCCCATGGCAATTTTAGTTGATTCTGAATAGCCCTGGGCAATGATCTTATTACAGTTTTCCTGTGAAGAGAACATTAGAAAGAAATTTGGTTCATAATTAACAACACAATACAGTTGATAAATTTTACTTAAAGATTTAATACTTTCAGAAATATAAGTTCAGCAATTTAATAAGATTTATCAAGTTTGAATGAATTCTTTTTTTTAAATCAGTTTGAAGAAAATCACATGTTTTTATTGGAACCATGGAGAGAAGAGATTTTATATAGGAGCCAAAATGATCAATAAATTGATCGTGAGCCCTTAAGATATAGAAGAAGAAGAATATTTGTAGAGCCAGATCTAAATCCTTTTAACTTTCTCTACATAAACATTGAAAACTGAAAACGTTGATGTTGAAAAGCCAGCTGTACATCATAATATTATAAAAATGATCTATAACTGCACTTATTTTCACATTAAGCATATTCATGGTGATGAAGACTAGTCAAGAGCCATGTGTAACACCATAACCTCCAATACTAACACAGATGAATTCATACTACCATGCCAGGCTTGGGAAGTTACTTTGTTAGGAATGGGTTCTTGAAAAAATCTTTTAAAAAAAGAAGAAACTAACATCATCACCATCCCCACCATCTTCACCATCATCATCATGTTTCTTCCTTTTATCATTGGGAGCAGGGATGAAATTCAACATCTCAATGATGTCTTCCAAGTAGTACTCTGAAATGGATGCATAATCCATTCATCACATAATAACATCATGACTTAAAACAACCCTTCACTCATCACATAATAACATCATGACTTAAAACAACCCTTCACTCATCACATAATAACATCATGACTTAAAACATCCCTTCACTCATCACATAATAACATCATGACTTAAAACATCCCTTCACTCATCACATAATAACATCATGACTTAAAACATCCCTTCACTCATCACATAATAACATCATGACTTAAAACAACCCTTCACTCATCACATAATAACATCATGACTTAAAACAACCCTTCACTCATCACATAATAACATCATGACTTAAAACATCCCTTCACTCATCACATAATAACATCATGACTTAAAACAACCCTTCACTCATCACATAATAACATCATGACTTAAAACATCCCTTCACTCATCACATAATAACATCATGACTTAAAACATCCCTTCACTCATCACATAATAACATCATGACTTAAAACATCCCTTCACTCATCATATAATAGCGTCATGACTTAAAACACCCTTTCATTCATCCCACAACAGTATAATTACCGTATTTATTGACGTATAACACACACTTTTTCTCCCTGAAAATAGGGGGCAAATGATGTGTGCGTGTTATACGCTGATATAATGTTTAGGTTTTTTTCTAGAAATTTCCTTCTTAAATTGAGGTGCGTGTTATACGCGGGGGCGTGTTATACGCCCATTAATACGGTACTTTACTAATGACAACAATCACGCCACAGTAGAAACTCTAAATATAAAGACCTTTAGCTATTAGGATATTCATTGAACTGGAAATTGTGTTTTGGGTTATCACACAGAGAATTGCATCTATTCTATAAACCCGATCAGTACCGATCAAGATAATGTTTGCTGTGGTGTGATTCCTTTGTCCAGAAAGATGTATTAATTATAATTTTAAAAAGGCACAACTGAGGCACAGACTTGACCAACAATATTGGAGATAGCCCTGGGTAAAATAACATATGCATGCCTTGTACCATAGTTTGTGGCAGGTTTGACCACAAAAATTAACTATAGAGACTGCATTAGAATAGCTAGCACAGAAGCCTATGGTGAATACCTTGCACAGGGAAAGTTCTACCATACACCTCGACAATAGAGACTTCTCCAAAGTACTCGGTGAAGAGGGTCGTATCAACAGTGGCTGACATAAGAATCACTCTCAGATCTTTGTACGTGTGCACCATGTCTCTGAGCAGCACCAACAAGAAGTCCGTCTGCAATGTGCAGAAAACCAAAGTCAACAGTAGCAGATGGCGGGGAAAAAATAAAGTGATTGGGGTGATTGTAGTACTAGCTGCACTAAATTAGCATCCTTTAGGTTTTTCCTTGTGAGCTGAACATGGATGTCTGCATGTAATAAAGTGTAATAAAGCATTATTGTTTACTTAGCCCATTAAAAATGTGTGCAGCATTTAATTCTCTTGTGAATAAACACTACATAAAAGTCTTCAATTAAATACAAAGACACACTTAACCATCAATCCCCAGGTCTTATTCTGACTTATAGAAACTCCTTTGTGCGTGCAAACTAAGTCTTTTTTCGTATTATACATTTCTTAAATGTAAAAAAAATTTATTAATTTGTTGAAAAGTACTCTTTTAAAGCTGAATGACATAATTATTGGCCAGGGTTATTCAGAGCTAGACTATCATGCAAAGAAGACGAATCAACTCACATTGATATCCCTTTCATGGATTTCATCAACGATAACATGGGAAATGCCTCGCAGGCCACCCTCCAGACGTCTCAGGAGAGTTCCTAAAGTGCAAGAACATTAGCATGATTTTTTTTTTGTTAAAACATGAGATTTATTTATTAATGAAATGGCCGTTTTTATGTATTGAGAAAAAGCTTGGTATGATATCAACAAAGGGAAATGAGTGATTTCCATTGGAAATACAATGTGTATATATATAGAGTCACAGTGGAACTGTTTTTGGAACAGGTGCTGGAATTATTAAGTTGAAAAAATAAAAATTAAATGGCATGTTTTTATTAGTTAAGTAGTCGGCAACTTTGGAGATGGATGAGACACGAGTGGGCAGATAAATAGTTGATGATTTCATGAGACACCAGTGGGCAGATAATTACTTGATGATTTCATCTGATGGTAGAGAATGTCAGCAAACCAGGATTTTTTTTTTTTAAATGTTTCCTATCATAACAAATCGTAAGTAACCCCTAACTAAAATTTTGTACGGTTAATTTCTAGAATCTCTTAATTTTTTTTTTCCCACATACCACTTTTTACTGACTGGTGTCCATAGTTAATATTTTTTACATAAATAAAAAAAAAAATTCAGCCAATCTAAGCAAACATCTTTTTCTCATAAATTTAATGGCTTCTGTCATCTTCCCTTACCACTAAAATTTAATTTTACAGCAAAAGTACAAATGAAAAACCATACGCTAAAATTAGCAACAACAAAACAAAAAAAAATGTTTTTAAGTTACCACTATTTGTATTTGCGGTAGTGACAATAGTGAAATGTTGGGTAGTGACAAGCAAACACAAAAAATCTATATAATGCACCTGAGGTCACCAGAATCCGTATTTGAATAAACTGAACTGGCGAATCCGGAGCGAGAGAAAATAAAAACGTATGAATCCGGAGCTGAAAAATATTTAGGCTCACGAGTCTGGAATTCCGTGATAATCAGGAAAAGTGGCACCCATGCTGAAATGTGACAGGATATGTTGGGTAGAGACAGCATACAGAACTAATCGAAATGACCCACAAATTTCTCACACCACGTAAATAAAATAAGTGGGTTAAAAAAATAAACTTTTAATGACTTTTAGTTGACTTACCCACAGTGCAGTACAAGATACTGCCATAAGGCCGGGGCATGACTGACTCAAATCTTACACTGTAACCAACAGACATTCCCAGCATCTCAGACCTCTCTGCTGCAACTCGCTCCGCTATGGACACGGCACTGATGCGACGAGGCTAAAAACAAGACCCACAAAAATTATTACGATTTGAAAAGACGCTGCCCCAGATAGCGATTTTAAAGATGATGCCCCAGTTAATGATAGATGTTGCACCAGATAACAATTTGAAAGACAATGCCCCAGATAACGATTTGAAAGACAATGTCCCAGATAACGATTTGAAAGACAATGCCCCAGACAATTTAAAAAATTCAAAATTAAGTAACTAATTTTCAGATTTGCCAATTACATTATAGTTTTATTATCATCTTGTGCAGAAAATCATAAATTTGTAAAGATGCCCCATTCATAGGGAACAAGCATCATAAGTCTTACAATGAATATAAGTAATTCACACTTGAACATTAAAAGTAGAGATGATATTCTTAGCATTTAAAGCAAGAAGACTCTCTTAAGGATGATTTCACAACTCAACATTGAATTCAAACTACTCCTATTATGCACTGGGCACCTTTCATGGCTCACCTGAGTGATGATTATACCACAATTAGCACCTTGTCCAGAACTGATCATGTGATCCAATATAAACTGTGGAACCTATGATGGAAAAACAAATAGGATTGAGCATTTTTTTGTTTAATCATTGATTTCTGCACAGGTACAAACCAGATAAATCCACAGGTACAAACTACTGATACATCCATGTGTACAAACTTCTGATACATCCACAGGCACAAACCATTGAAATATCCATAAGTACAAAACACTGACACATCCATGTGTACAAACTTCTGACACATCCATGGGTACAAACTACTGACACATCCATGGGTACAAACTACTGATACATCCATGTGTACAAACTACTGATACATCCACAGGCACAAACCATTGAAATATCCATAAGTACAAAACACTGACACATCCATGGGTACAAACTACTGACACATCCACAGGCACAAACCATTGAAATATCCATAAGTACAAAACATTGACACATCCACGGGTACAAACTACTGACACATCCATGGGTACAAACTACTGATACATCCACAGGCACAAACCATTGAAATATCCATAAGTACAAAACATTGACACATCCATGGGTACAAACTACTGACACATCCATGGGTACAAACTACTGATACATCCACAGGCACAAACCATTGAAATATCCATAAGTACAAAACATTGACACATCCATGGGTACAAACTACTGACACATCCATGGGTACAAACTACTGACACATCCACAGGCACAAACCATTGAAATATCCATAAGTACAAAACATTGACACATCCATGGGTACAAACTACTGACACATCCATGGGTACAAACTACTGATACATCCACAGGCACAAACCATTGAAATATCCATAAGTACAAAACATTGACACATCCATGGGTACAAACTACTGACACATCCATGGGTACAAACTACTGATACATCCATGTGTACAAACTACTGATACATCCACAGGCACAAACCATTGAAATATCCATAAGTACAAAACATTGACACATCCATGGGTACAAACTACTGATACATCCACAGGCACAAACCATTGAAATATCCATAAGTACAAAACATTGACACATCCACGGGTACAAACTACTGACACATCCATGGGTACAAACTACTGATACATCCACAGGCACAAACCATTGAAATATCCATAAGTACAAAACATTGACACATCCACGGGTACAAACTACTGATACATCCATGGGTACAAACTACTGATACATCCACAGGCACAAACCATTGAAATATCCATAAGTACAAAACATTGACACATCCATGGGTACAAACTACTGACACATCCACGGGTACAAACTACTGACACATCCATGGGTACAAACTACTGATACATCCACAGGCACAAACCATTGAAATATCCATAAGTACAAAACATTGACACATCCACGGGTACAAACTACTGACTACTGATACATCCACAGGCACAAACCATTGAAATATCCATAAGTACAAAACATTGACACATCCATGGGTACAAACTACTGATACATCCACGGGTACAAACTACTGACACATCCATGGGTACAAACTACTGACCCATCCATGGGTACAAACTACTGACACATCCATGGGTACAAACTACTGACACATCCACAGGTACAAACTACTGATACATCCACAGGCACAAACCATTGAAATATCCATAAGTACAAAACATTGACACATCCATGGGTACAAACTACTGACACATCCATGTGTACAAACTACTGATACATCCACAGGCACAAACCATTGAAATATCCATAAGTACAAAACATTGACACATCCATGGGTACAAACTACTGACACATCCACAGGTACAAACTACTGATACATCCACAGGCACAAACCATTGAAATATCCATAAGTACAAAACATTGACACATCCATGTGTACAAACTACTGATACATCCACAGGCACAAACCATTGAAATATCCATAAGTACAAAACATTGACACATCCATGGGTACAAACTACTGATACATCCACAGGCACAAACCATTGAAATATCCATAAGTACAAAACATTGACACATCCATGGGTACAAACTACTGATACATCCACAGGCACAAACCATTGAAATATCCATAAGTACAAAACATTGACACATCCATGGGTACAAACTACTGATACATCCACAGGCACAAACCATTGAAATATCCATAAGTACAAAACATTGACACATCCATGGGTACAAACTACTGATACATCCACAGGCACAAACCATTGAAATATCCATAAGTACAAAACATTGACACATCCATGGGTACAAACTACTGATACATCCACAGGCACAAACCATTGAAATATCCATAAGTACAAAACATTGACACATCCATGGGTACAAACTACTGATACATCCACAGGCACAAACCATTGAAATATCCATAAGTACAAAACATTGACACATCCATGGGTACAAACTACTGATACATCCACAGGCACAAACCATTGAAATATCCATAAGTACAAAACATTGACACATCCATGGGTACAAACTACTGATACATCCACAGGCACAAACCATTGAAATATCCATAAGTACAAAACATTGACACATCCATGGGTACAAACTACTGATACATCCACAGGCACAAACCATTGAAATATCCATAAGTACAAAACATTGACACATCCATGGGTACAAACTACTGATACATCCACAGGCACAAACCATTGAAATATCCATAAGTACAAAACATTGACACATCCATGGGTACAAACTACTGATACATCCACAGGCACAAACCATTGAAATATCCATAAGTACAAAACATTGACACATCCATGGGTACAAACTACTGATACATCCACAGGCACAAACCATTGAAATATCCATAAGTACAAAACATTGACACATCCATGGGTACAAACTACTGATACATCCACAGGCACAAACCATTGAAATATCCATAAGTACAAAACATTGACACATCCATGGGTACAAACTACTGATACATCCACAGGCACAAACCATTGAAATATCCATAAGTACAAAACATTGACACATCCATGGGTACAAACTACTGATACATCCACAGGCACAAACCATTGAAATATCCATAAGTACAAAACATTGACACATCCATGGGTACAAACTACTGATACATCCACAGGCACAAACCATTGAAATATCCATAAGTACAAAACATTGACACATCCATGTGTACAAACTACTGATACATCCACAGGCACAAACCATTGAAATATCCATAAGTACAAAACATTGACACATCCATGTGTACAAACTACTGACACATCCATGTGTACAAACTTCTGATACATCCACAGGCACAAACCATTGAAATATCCATAAGTACAAAACATTGACACATCCACGGGTACAAACTACTGACACATCCATGTGTACAAACTACTGATACATCCACAGGCACAAACCAATGAAATATCCATAAGTACAAAACATTGACACATCCACGGGTACAAACTACTGACACATCCATGGGTACAAACTACTGATACATCCACAGGCACAAACCATTGAAATATCCATAAGTACAAAACATTGACACATCCATGGGTACAAACTACTGATACATCCACGGGTACAAACTACTGACACATCCATGGGTACAAACTTCTGATACATCCACAGGCACAAACCATTGAAATATCCATAAGTACAAAACATTGACACATCCATGGGTACAAACTACTGACACATCCATGGGTACAAACTACTGATACATCCATGTGTACAAACTACTGATACATCCACAGGCACAAACCATTGAAATATCCATAAGTACAAAACATTGACACATCCATGGGTACAAACTACTGATACATCCACAGGCACAAACCATTGAAATATCCATAAGTACAAAACATTGACACATCCATGGGTACAAACTACTGATACATCCACAGGCACAAACCATTGAAATATCCATAAGTACAAAACATTGACACATCCATGGGTACAAACTACTGATACATCCACAGGCACAAACCATTGAAATATCCATAAGTACAAAACATTGACACATCCATGGGTACAAACTACTGATACATCCACAGGCACAAACCATTGAAATATCCATAAGTACAAAACATTGACACATCCATGGGTACAAACTACTGATACATCCACAGGCACAAACCATTGAAATATCCATAAGTACAAAACATTGACACATCCATGGGTACAAACTACTGATACATCCACAGGCACAAACCATTGAAATATCCATAAGTACAAAACATTGACACATCCATGGGTACAAACTACTGATACATCCACAGGCACAAACCATTGAAATATCCATAAGTACAAAACATTGACACATCCATGGGTACAAACTACTGATACATCCACAGGCACAAACCATTGAAATATCCATAAGTACAAAACATTGACACATCCATGGGTACAAACTACTGATACATCCACAGGCACAAACCATTGAAATATCCATAAGTACAAAACATTGACACATCCATGGGTACAAACTACTGATACATCCACAGGCACAAACCATTGAAATATCCATAAGTACAAAACATTGACACATCCATGGGTACAAACTACTGATACATCCACAGGCACAAACCATTGAAATATCCATAAGTACAAAACATTGACACATCCATGGGTACAAACTACTGATACATCCACAGGCACAAACCATTGAAATATCCATAAGTACAAAACATTGACACATCCATGGGTACAAACTACTGATACATCCACAGGCACAAACCATTGAAATATCCATAAGTACAAAACATTGACACATCCATGGGTACAAACTACTGATACATCCACAGGCACAAACCATTGAAATATCCATAAGTACAAAACATTGACACATCCATGGGTACAAACTACTGATACATCCACAGGCACAAACCATTGAAATATCCATAAGTACAAAACATTGACACATCCATGGGTACAAACTACTGATACATCCACAGGCACAAACCATTGAAATATCCATAAGTACAAAACATTGACACATCCATGGGTACAAACTACTGATACATCCACAGGCACAAACCATTGAAATATCCATAAGTACAAAACATTGACACATCCATGGGTACAAACTACTGACACATCCATGTGTACAAACTACTGATACATCCACAGGCACAAACCATTGAAATATCCATAAGTACAAAACATTGACACATCCATGGGTACAAACTACTGACACATCCACAGGCACAAACCATTGAAATATCCATAAGTACAAAACATTGACACATCCATGTGTACAAACTACTGATACATCCACAGGCACAAACCATTGAAATATCCATAAGTACAAAACATTGACACATCCATGTGTACAAACTACTGATACATCCACAGGCACAAACCATTGAAATATCCATAAGTACAAAACATTGACACATCCATGTGTACAAACTACTGATACATCCACAGGCACAAACCATTGAAATATCCATAAGTACAAAACATTGACACATCCATGTGTACAAACTACTGATACATCCACAGGCACAAACCATTGAAATATCCATAAGTACAAAACATTGACACATCCATGTGTACAAACTACTGATACATCCACAGGCACAAACCATTGAAATATCCATAAGTACAAAACATTGACACATCCACGGGTACAAACTACTGACACATCCATGGGTACAAACTACTGATACATCCACAGGCACAAACCATTGAAATATCCATAAGTACAAAACATTGACACATCCATGGGTACAAACTACTGACACATCCATGGGTACAAACCATTGAAATATCCATAAGTACAAAACATTGACACATCCATGGGTACAAACTACTGACACATCCACATGTACAAACCATTGATACATCCACAGGGAAAAACCAATCATACATCCAGTATAAAGCACTGGTACATCCACAGGTAAAAATCCACTGATACATTTACAGGTAAAATCCACGGATACATCCACATGTAAATGTTTGACCACAAAGTAACCAACCTGGGTTGTTTTACCACAACCAGTCTCTCCTCTGATCAAGGTCACAGGGTTGCTGCTGATCTGGTAGATTATGGACTCACATGAAGCATGCGTCGGAAGTTTAGCACGTTGATCAATCATCTGGAGAAACAAGAAATTATCAAGTTTACGAGCTACTCCTTCTAAATCCTTAAGTTTTAAATTTTAACACTTCACCTGTATCGTTTTCTTCATATTAACACTTTACCTGTACCATTGACTTTATTTTAACACTTCACCTGTGTCAGTCTCTTCTTTGTCAACTCTTCACTTGTGTCAGTCTCTTCTTTGTCAACTCTTCACCTGTGCCAGTCTCTTCTTTGTCAACTCTTCACCTGTGTCAGTCTCTTCTTTGTCAACTCTTCACCTGTAGCATTTTTTTCTTTTTCAACACCTCACCTGTATCATTCTCTTCTTTTTCAACACTTGACCTGTATCATTCACTTCTTACTAACAATTCAACTGATACAACTTCTCATTTCAAATGAATCAATATCTCACCATCATCAAGTTAGCATCCTCTTCATATCGTCTTTCCAAATCAATTTTCAAATCTGCACTGATATTACTAAGAGATGACTGTAATATAAATAATAATTGTTAAATGAAGTAAAAAACACAAACTGGACATGATTGTTATAGTAAACAGTTTGACTTTAGAACCAGTAGTCATCATAAGTCAGCATTAATGAATTAATGACTTTATTTTATGATCTAACAAAGCATGTTATTTAAAATAATTACTCTATGTATATATATATAGCTTACTATATAAGCTTTTTACTATATGAGCTAGACAGTAGACCTTTTTTGTACAAGGCATTCATTTATGGCTAATATCTGTGCTTGAGAAATACTTTAGATGTCTTGTGTTTAATTTGTTAACATTATAAAATGTCGAAGTTAAAAATATGGATGTGCTGAAAATGAATATTTACAATGTAATAAAAAAACATTACCATTTATTTGGATCAAAAATCTTATCTATCTTCATAAGACACTTTAAGTAAAAAGCTTAAATAAATTTTTTAAATGGCTCAATATTTATGGGGAAAGTCAGAGGAAACAAAAAAAAAAAAAAAAAAAAAAAAAAAAAACAAAATAAAAAAAAAAAAAAGTAGGGCTATCAGTTAATATTAAACTACACTATCAGTTAATATTAAACTACATGTACAGCTATCAGTTAATATTAAACTACCGGTACATGTACAGCTATCAGTTAATATTAAACTGTATGTACAGCTATCAGTTAATATTAAACTACATGTACAGCTATCAGTTAATATTAAACTACATGTACAGCTATCAGTTAATATTAAACTACCGGTACATGTACAGCTATCAGTTAATATTAAACTGCATGTACAGCTATCAGTTAATATTAAACTACATGTACAGCTATCAGTTCATCTTATACTATATGTGCAGCTATCAGCTTATATTAACTAAAACAATTCCATTTCTATTTAAGTCCCATGGTTATCTTAAATAGCTGTATTCAATTCCTATCTCAAGTTGATCATATCTTCAACATGAAGGCTTTTTAAAAAATGGTTGTTGTTTTTTTTTAAAAATGTACAAATAAACCAAACTGCAACAACGAATGTTGTCTGTGGGTTGGGGACAGAGTGTCTGTGGGTTGGGGACAACGTGTCTGTGGGTTGGGATAGAGAGTGTCTGCAGGTGGGACAACAGTATCTGCAGGTTAGGGACAGAGTGTCGGGGGGTTGGGGACAACGTGTCTGTGGGTTGGGATAGAGAGTGTCTGCAGGTGGGACAACAGTATCTGCAGGTTGGGGACAGAGTGTCTGCGGGTTGGGACAGAGTGTCTGTGGGTTGGGGACAATGTGTCTGTGGGTTGGGATAGAGAGTGTCTGCAGGTGGGACAACAGTGTCTGCAGGTTAGGAACAGAGTTCTGTGGGTTCGGATAGAGTGTCTGCAGGTTGGACAACAGTGTCTGCAGGTTGGACAACAGTGTCTGAAGGTTAGGGACAGAGTTCTGTAGGATGGGATAGAGAGTGTCTGCAGGTTGGACAACAGTTTCTGCAGGTTGGGGACAGAGTGTCTGCAGTTTGGGACAGAGTGTCATTGAGAAAAGGGTAGTGCTGGATGATATAATGGATTCCTGGCTAGGATCTCTATTTAATGATTGGGCCAAGCATAAGATTATTTTTACCATAGGCTAATAACATAATTACACATGCAGTGGTGCAATTTAAGCCTAATGACCTAATTACACATGCAGTCTGGTAATAAAAGCCTACTTACACATACAATGAAATTAAGTTATCGTTGAATAATTAAAACCAAAAGTTTAAAAAAATAGAAAATCAAAACCAATCAACAAAACCAAAAGCTGAGTAACCCGATCAAATCAATGATCAATTGTATGTGCTGCAGATCAAATCAATGATCAAGTGTATGTGCTGCAGATCAAATCAATGATCAAGTGTATGTGTTGCAGATCAAATCAATGATCAAGTGTATGTGCTGCAGATCAAATCAATGATCAATTGTATGTGCTGCAGATCAAATCAATGATCAAGTGTATGTGCTGCAGATCAAATCAATGATCAAGTGTATGTGCTGCTTACTGTTGCAAGGGGGCCTTCGTCAATGTTACAGTTGATCCAGGGATTCCAATTTGGTATAGGCGGGGACCATGAAACAACTCCAGGGGTTCTCTTAGGAGGCGCAGGATCAAACTCCTCAAGGGAGGGCTGGTTGATCAGTGAGACGACAGGGGGACCAACCCCCTCACCCTCTTCCTTGGGGGGTGGCAGCACTTGAGAATATTTATTTTCCTGTAGAACATTTGGAATAAGAAAAATGATAACAATGTGGCAAGTGATAACAATGTGTCAAGTGATAACAATGTGACAAGTGACAACAATGTGACAAGTGACAACAATGTGACAAGTGACAACAATGTGACAAGTGACAAAAATGTCACATGTGACAACAATGTGACAACAATGTGACAAGTGACAACAATGTGAACAGTGACAACAATGTGACAAGTGACAACAATGTGACAAGTGACAACAATGTAAAAAGTGACAATGATGTGACAAGTGACAGCAATGTGACAAGTGACAACAATGTGACAAGTGACAACAATGTGACAAGTGACAACAATGTGACAAGTGACAACAATGTGACAAGTGACAACAATGTCACATGTGACAACAATGTGACAACAATGTGACAAGTGACAACAATGTGACAAGTGACAACAATGTGACAAGTGACAACAATGTGACAAGTGACAACACTATAAATATCTTGACCACTGGCATCAGACCATGTAAACAGCCACACACAAAAGACAAAGAGAGTTGAAGAAAATGTACATATTCATTACCCCATAAACATATGGTCATATACCGAAGTCTTACATTATGTGAGGCATCCCCCTGACTCGTAGAAATGTTTAAAACTAGCCCCAGTCCTCCCATATTACCAGTGTTTCAAAGTTTGAGACAGGTTCAACCCCCCACTGCTTGAGGCATTGGTCAATTTTCTGTTCCAGATCTTCACTGACGGACATTTCATAGGGTGGCAGCTGAAAGATTATAAAAAAAAAGAAGATTGCCGTGACAGGGTGGGTGGGGGTGGGGGGGGACGCGGATGATAAATCATAGATGTGATTAAACTGAAAAATTAAAAAACAAAGGCAAAGAGCATATCCACTAATGTAGCGTATAGACTACTGAAAATGTAGATGGTTTAGATTCTTGTGTATGCTACAAATTCGATTTTAATATACTTATATATTACCATTTATACTCGCCTACAAGCAGACGCTTTAAAACTGCTTTAAAATGGCCAGTTTTTGCAAAAACCCGCATATAAGCAGACCACACAATTGTCTAATTTTACTCCATATTTTTGGTTTATAGAAATGTGCGCATAGAGTATTAGTTAGGAAACCATAGATATAGGAAACATTATCTGTTTTTTTAGTACTTTTTCTTCATTTAATGCCATTTTTGACTTGGAAAATGAATTCTCCTTGGTAATATTCATACCCAGTATAATGATCAGCTATGCATACATTAAATTCTTTGAAGCGACACCTCTGTAGATATATATATATATATATATATATATATATATATATATATATATATATATATATATATATATATATATATATATATTAGTATTCTGTACACACAACCAAATAAAGAGTCAGATAGTGATGAAAATGTGTGGCTGGAAAATTGGCCTTAGTGTCTGTCCTTGTGTCCATTTTGTTTTATGCTCATATTTCAGTATTGTATTTTATAGTTCTAAATTCGGCTTATATGCGAGTATCTACGGTAGTTAATTACTGTGATATTGTTTCTATTTTTAAAAAATAGCACTGCAAGATGTACACAATAAAGTCTCAAGTGAAAATGATGTACACCAGGGGCAGAAAAATTTAGAATATTTATTCAAAAGCTAAAGAATTCTAAAGTAATGCTGCTAGGGATAGTGTAATGTTCTGTTTGGCTACCTTGTAGGGATAGTGTAATGTTCTGTTTGGCTACCCAGTAGGGATAGTGTAATGTTCTGTTTGGCTACCCAGTAGGGATAGTGAATGGTTCTGTTTGGCTACCCTGTAGGGATAGTGTAATGTTCTGTTTGGCTACCTTGTAGGGATAGTGTAATGTTCTGTTTGGCTACCCAGTAGGGATAGTGAATGGTTCTGTTTGGCTACCCTGTAGGGATAGTGAAAGGTTCTCTTTGGCTACACTGTAGGGATAGTGTAATGTTCTGTTTAACTACCCTGTAGGGATAGTGTAATGTTCTGTTTGGCTACCTCGTAGGGATAGTGTAATGTTCTGTTTGGCTACCTTGTAGGGATAGTGTAATGTTCTGTTTGGCTACCCTGTAGGGATAGTGTAATGTTCTGTTCGGCTACCTTGTAGGGATAGTGAAAGGTTCTCTTTGGCTACACTGTAGGGATAGTGTAATGTTCTGTTTAACTACCCTGTAGGGATAGTGTAATGTTCTGTTTGGCTACCTCGTAGGGATAGTGTAATGTTCTGTTTGGCTACCTTGTAGGGATAGTGTAATGTTCTGTTTGGCTACCCTGTAGGGATAGTGTAATGTTCTGTTCGGCTACCTTGTAGGGATAGTGTAATGTTCTGTTTGGCTACCTAGTGGCTTTAAGTGAAGACTGAATGTACTGTCTTGGTGTTGTTTACTTCTAGTTTCCACTTTTCACTGTGTGTGTACTGGGCATAATCAAGGCTTCGTTAAGACGCCTTGCACTTACACCTGTGTCTGTACTGGGCATAATCAAGTCTTCGTTAAGACGCCTGGCACTCACACCTGTGTCTGTACTGGACATAATCAAGTCTTGTTAAGACACCTTGCACTTACACCTGTGTTTTGGCAAGTATGCCTCCTCACAAGGTCATCTGTCTAAAGTGCTATTGTGTTTATAAGTAAACGGGAATCATAGCATTTGCGATTACCAAAACAAAGTTACAACTGCGCCAAAGTTTGATGGCTAATTTCTCTCAAGTCACTTGTTTATCTCAGTACCTTATCAGAGCCCTTCTTCTTTTTCTCCCCGGTGTTAGCCTCAATGACCTTCATGTGATACAACTGTCTGACCAGTGACAGAGCACATGATTTAGATGCCACTTGCTTGTTGGAGCCGGTCTCTCTGGCATGTAGCACTGGTCAATAGAAAGACATGTTGTAAAATTTTGATTGTTAGTTCATATGCATAAGGTTACTTTATAAAAAAAACAAAGTTGATAGAAAGCTGATAAAGGATTTAACAAAAATCACATTTCTGACACCACTTCACAGGAACACATTTCTGACACCACTTCACAGGAACACATATGACACCACTTCACAGGAACACAACTGACACCACTTCACAGGAACACATCTGACACCACTTCACAGGAACACAGCTGACACCACTTCACAGGAACACAACTGACACCACTTCACAGGAACACATCTGACACCACTTCACAGGAACACATCTGACACCACTTCACAGGAACACATCTGACACCACTTCACAGGAACACATCTGACACCACTTCACAGGAACACATCTGATCAGTTCCTGTGGATTCTTGTGATGAATTGTCAATTTTATGTCTAAAATTATGATTCACAGAAAAGTTATGATGAGCATAATGAGAACAATGTTTTAAAATGAGGAAACTTGCATGCTTACACATTCACCAGCAATGAAAATTTCATACTAAAAACTGTCTTCAGTTACCTGTATTTCCTACTTACCGTGGCCAATTTGCTTGACGTGAAATGACATTTCAGCTGCAAAGCTCCTAAAAGTGGTCATGCAATAATAGATTTTAATTTTCAGATATATTCATTTTAAAAATATTTGCAAACTAGAAATTCTAATTATATTGGAGAAAATATCCATGTATTATATTATAAGTCAGTTGGACTGTTTTATCATTATTCGACATTATTTATTGCTGATCATGATTTTCACACACTGTACAATTAACTTGAAATTTATTTTTTTTAAATTTATTGCATGAAGTACCTAGACTTTATTTGCACAAAATTAACAGTTGATGTATTGAAATGGCAAAATTCTTAACCTAGCATTTGATCAAATTTGCTTACCACATGATTGAATGAGACTTCCATAGTTCTTCTCCAATCAGTTGCATTATGAAGGGAGACCATCCCAGGCATCCATCCAATGCCAAAATCTTAGCTCAGCAACACTGAGACATCCACCCGAGGCTTAAGAGTGGAATCTAAAGGCCCAGACCCTGCTGCCGATGTTGCAAGAAAAACAAATATTTACCATGGAAAGACTGCACCATTCTGCTATTTTGTTTAAAATATTTGAAGACAGTTTCTGAACTAAAATGTAAAAAAAACTCTGGTACAGTCTTCACATGGTATAAAACTCTTGAGATCAGCTTATTGACCTCTACTGTCGTTTATTTCCTGCAAGAGGGTCTGGGCTTTACCACGCTCAAGCTTCCAGGCTTTCAGTGAGCAGACTTAGTTGTTTTTAATGGGGAGAAATAAGCTTGAAATAAATCTCCAAGACTATCTGTTGGTCAGAAATAATCACAAGTTGCCACCGGATATGGGGACACTCTAAAACAGGGTGTCCCCAGAGTAGGGTGCCAACAGAACAGGCTGCCAACTGAGCAGGATTCCATCACTGGAGCAAGCTGATTTGGAGGCATTTGATGGGGAGTGAGGGTGAAGAAATCCGCAGGGGAGCAATCAATAGACAGATCAAAAGCCGTCATGGAGGTAGTGTATATGTTTGAGGCTGTTCAAGCTAAGAGTCTAATATTGGCGACCAAAGAAGACTTACTGGTGTCCAGAGTTTTCTGAAAGTTAACTTTTCATTAAAATACCAAGGCTGATCAGGCACCGGAATGCAGCAGATATTTATCTCGATGAAGCAAACGCTTTTTGTTTTTTCAATACTTGAAAAATTGAAATTCAAAGGAGCTATTCAAAACCGAAACTAATAAATAGCAATTTCAGATCTACCATGGAACATTCCAGCTTTCTGGTCTTGTGACTTTGTCAATAGAAAGTGATAAGGTCAAGAATTGATATTAATGAAGTTATCAACATATTTATTGATGTTTCATCTTGTAGACCAGTAAGGTAAAGTTTTAACTGTAAATTTAATTTCACATCCTTTGCTAAATTGAGCAAAAATTCCCACTTTAAAAAGATTGAACCCCCCCCCCCCCAACCCTAATTTTTTTTAAACACAAAAAAAAAATTCCCACCTTAAAAAAATTGACCCCCCCCCCCCCCCCAACCTTAATTTATGTTGAACACAAAAACTGATACAGTTTATGCTTTCACTTAAAAGCATCGAATGTCCTGATGTGCAGCTATAAGATGGAAGTTGAATATGTACAAATAATCTCTTTTACATACGACTGAATGGTACCTTGGGATGGTCTCTCTGCTCATGTCATATTTATTTAAAGCCTTATTTCGTCCTCAGCAAGAAGCTGGTCACTCAAGACCAGGTAAGATTCTTATTGCATCGCCAACAAGAAGCTCACCTGGTCACTCAAGACCAGGATAGCATCTTACTCAGCCGTTGGGTGAAATATTGCTTGAACTAATGGCCTTAAATAGTGAAAATGAGCTATCTGTGCTGGACTTAAACAACCAATGGCACTTTCTCACTTTCAAAGCAATGTTTTTCCAAATAGACCATAACCAATTAAATAAGTTCATTTGCAAGAGATTTTCTTTAGTCCATATTAAATAAGTTAATTTGCAAGATATTTTCTTCAGTCCATATTAAATAAGTTCATTTGCAAGATATTTTCTTCAGTCCATATTAAATAAGTTCATTTGCAAGATATTTTCTTCAGTCCATTATTAAACAAGTTAATTTGCAAGATATTTTCTTCAGTTCATATTAAATAAGTTCATTTGCAAGATATTTTCTTCAGTCCATATTAAACAAGTTCATTTGCAAGATATTTTCTTTAGTCCATATTAAACAAGTTCATTTGTAAGATATTTTCTTCAGTCCATATTAAATAAATTAATTTGCAATATATTTTCTTCGGTTCATATTAAATAAGTTCATTTGCAAGAGATTTTCTTATTTACTAATTATTCTTCAAAAGATAAAAGCATTAATCGGAAGCAATGGTTAGGAGCTTTTGGCTAAAATATTGTTTATGTTACAGATATGACTATATGGGAGATAAGTTATATGGGAGTTATTACTTATGTAATATACAGAGTATTGGGACTTAGAGAAAACAGGCCAATCAGAGGAGAGTAAGGAGTGAAACAAGAAATGGAGGTTGAATAATATGACAGTCGATTCATGTAATTTGTTTGAAGATGTATAGTGTGATAACACTTTATCAAGTAAAGAAGTTTACCGAGAGGCTATTATTGAAAGACACATGACACAATCCGAGTGTTTTCAGATTTAGTATGTTCAGCATGAGAGGTAGAGCTGTTTGGTATTAACTATAACTGTGATCGTGTGTAATAAAGTATTAGTCTCTATTATTTGAACCACTACGCCTCTGTTATGATTGGCAAGACATTGTGATTGTGACATTGTGTCTAAACTGCCTTACAGAAATCAAAGAAATTTGTCACAAGATTGCACACACACATTTTAAAAACAGCTTATTCAAGCACAAGGATAAAGCAGCTTGACCTATTTGAAAGGCCCTGGGGACTCTGTAGTTATTAGGATTTTCACTATGATACTGTCCAAATATGTTTTTTAAAATTTCAGTTTTGTGAATGCTGAAACGAAGTTAATGTTAATTTTCTTTGCTCTTCATATTTGACAAGAAGGATCAACGGTTACTTCTGGTATTAGGATTCATGTTATTTTATTCACTGGTCCTACAATCAAACCATTTTAGGCCATTGATCTAACTAAACATGAAGCATAATTTATCAATTTATAGTTGCTTCTTTTAGACTGTTTCGAATATTAATCACTGAATTTTGCCCAAACCAATCATTGGCCATAAATATCTAATTTTAAACAAACTATCAGTTTTTATTGGGCATCGCTGGCCATATAAATCTAATTTTAAACAATCATTTTTCATTGGCTATCGGCAGATGTAAGCACTGACCAGAAAAATATTGGAAATTGTCATCACCCTTGTCGACCCCATATTGTCTACAGGCCACATTGTTATCACTGGTAATCAAAAGTTTAACATACTAGTTTTTTGCTCCTCTGGTCATCATCATGAGACTTTGGCTAGACTAAAAAAGATAATATTTTTACTAGAATAAAAGACATGAGACTTTTGCTAGACTACAAGAGATAAGATTTTTCCTAGAATACAAGACATGAGACTTTTGCTAGACTACAAGAGATGAGATTTTTACTAGAATACAAGACATGAGACTTTTGCTAGACTACAAGAGATGAGCCTATTGCTGTAGAATCACAAGACTTTTACTAGACTATAAGAGATGAGACCATTGATATGGATGGAATAATAAAGACTTTTGGTATGGAATAACAAAGACTTTTACTAGACTACAGGAGATAAACTTATTGCTCCAGAACCAATTACTAGACTACAGGAGATAAAATTATTGATCCAGAACCAATTACTAGACTACAGGAGATAAACTTATTTCTCTAGAACCAATTACTAGACTACAGGAGATAAAATTATTGATCCAGAACCAATTACTAGACTACAGGAGATAAAATTATTGATCCAGAACCAATTACTAGACTACAGGAGATAAAATTATTGATCCAGAACCAATTACTAGACTACAGTAGATAAACCTATTGCTCCAGAACCAATTACTAGACTACAGGAGATAAACTTATTGCTCCAGAACCAATTACTAGACTACAGAAGATAAACTTATTGCTCCAGAACCAATTACTAGACTACAGAAGATAAACTTATTGCTCCAGAACCAATTACTAGACTGCAGGAGATAAACTTATTGCTCCAGAACCAATTACTAGACTGCAGGAGATAAACTTATTGCTCCAGAACCAATTACTAGACTGCAGGAGATAAACTTATTGCTCCAGAACCAAATTGTTCCAATTAAGCCTCTGACACCTCTTCCACCCCCCAAATAGAAGGAAAAAAAAAATTGAAACAAAGCAACATTTTCATAAAACATGAAACCATCAAGAAAACAAAAGATAAGAACCTGTTGTGATCAGGTCCCATCACATGGTACTTGTAGTCAGTTTTGATCTTGTTCATCTGTAGAAACTGGTGTAGTCGTGACTTAGCGTTCTCCATGGTCCAGTTACCATGGATATCAGCATTGAAGTCACAGTCTTCAGACTAGAGGAGTAGATAACATAGTGTATGTTGGGTATAAGCACATACACATTCTAATTATGTCTTATCCTCTGTTACAAATAACTGTATTTAAACAGGTTGTGCCTTTGTTAGATTCATTTCCATATCAAGTTGTCAATCTAAAAAGACCAGTTTGATGATATACATCAGACAGACATTGTTTCAAGTCCATGTCAAGTAGTCAATCTAAAAAGACCAGTTTGATGATATACATCAGACAGACATTGTTTCAAGTCCATGTCAAGTAATCAATCTAAAAAGACCAGTTTATGATATACATCAGACAGACATTGTTTCAAGTCCATGTCAAGAAGTCCATCTAAAAAGACCAGTTTGATGATATACATCAGACAGACATTGTTTTAAGTCCATGTCAAGTTGTCAATCTAAAAAGAGCAGTTGGATGATATACATCAGACAGACATTGTTTCAAGTCCATGTCAAGTTGTCAATCTAAAAAGACCTGTTGGATGATATACATCAGACAGACATTGTTTCAGTGGCACAATACATCACAACATCAGGGGACAAGGATAATTTGACCAAAAATTTCCTTTTGTTAAAATAAGCCTCTGGAAAAAAAAAAGCCAAATAATCAGAGTGGAAAAATCGCCATACAGCTAGTGCTTGACATACGACCACAATCGGTTCTGGCAGACCGATCGTAACACAATTTGGTTGTAAGTTGAGTACCCTATTTGTACAGTAATGTGAAGTGATGTTAAAAAATTGTTTAACTTAAATTATACCATAAATTTCTTATTGTTATAAATCATAATTTTCTACGTTCTTTTTATGCAATTTGTCATCTCTACACCATTTTGTTTCTTATGTTTACATCGTCAGGTTTAAGAAATACACTGCATTAACTGTACATGTGTAACTGGTTTAATATTTGCAAAACATACGAAATACAGGTGTGGAAAATACTATAGGAAACATTTTCCCAATCGCAAAACACATCAAATTGTCATTAACATCAAAATATCTAAACATGTATGAAACATTTTATTGGCCCCTGGTGCTTGGCTGCAGATCATTAATGTCATCATCTAAGGCAGCAGTTGGGGGTACCGGAATTAGTTTTTTTATAAACTTGGTGAGCTTTGTCTGAATTCTATGTTTCCATTTTTTCATCATAAATTTCACGATACGGACAAAACACATCGTGGGTCATTGTTCAATCCTTGCAATCGTTTGATGTTTGGGTCCATTGCTTCAAAATGAACGAGAAGTTTATTCAGTAAAGATAAACCTAATAATCCCTAAGTGGTGGACTTTCTTTCTGGCTCATCCTCTTTTTTCTTAGCTTATCTTCTTTCTTCTTCCGCCACTCTTTCTTCTTCCAGTTAGATTGACTCTTCATTTGTAAGTTCACCAGCTTCTTTGTCTTGTAACTCTTTGGCATCTTTAATTTCACACTCAAAAAAAGGTATTTGCAGAGTTTTACTATTTTTTCCCGAATCGTTTCAAGTTCATGTTCACTGTCAAATCCATGAAAATCATTAACATAGCGTTTAACACAAGTTTTCCAGATGCCATTCATGCACTTTGTGCACTTCTTAGCAGACTGAGGCATAGACAAAGACAATTTCCTCTTGGTAGACATTTTGGGAGAGATTTGATAAAAATAAAATATCCAAGACAAAAAAAAACATAAATTTTTTCTGTACAAAGTCTGGGATACCAGTTGAAATAGTGCACGCGGAAATGGCAGTGCTGTAGTATGGCCGCTAGGTAACGTTTGTGCAGTTCAAAACACAAGTTCAAATTTTCAAACTCTGAAGAGCTCTCCAATCAACAAGCTTTAGCCACGCTTGGGGAAGTCAATGGACCTAGGGTTATTGAGTGTGACCGTGCTATTTCTTAGATGACGCCGGCTAGCAGTATAGCATCATGCCTCCCTAACCTTAGTTAACGATCGCCAATGATTACAGACAAAGCCATTCCACTGATAATTGAGGCAAAAATAAATCTGAAATCAAACATGGCTAGTTATTGTGGTCATAAAGTCGAATGGTCGTAAGTTGCATAGGTTGTAAGTCAAGTACTAGCTGTATTATAGACTCTACATTAAATCTAAACTCTGAAGAGTCCTTCAGCACACCCTTACAAACATGAACATCTGAATGTACTACACATTAAATGCTGTACATATTTGATTGGGTCCTTGCATGATACACAAACTATCTGACCTGCCTAGTAAAGCCATCTACATTTACATCTAACAATTTTTTGGTCTAGTTTCCTGACATTAAAAATCTCTCCAAATATTCATCCATAATCCCATTCATGCAATGCAATATATAATATGTCAATATAATATCTGAATATAATATGTGAATATAATATGTCAATATAATTTGTGAATATAATATGTGAATATAATATGTAAATACAATATGTCAATATATGTCAATATAATATGTCAATATAATATATGAATATCATATGTCAATATAATATGTCAATATAATATATGAATATAATATGTCAATATAATATATGAATATAATATGTGAATATAATATATTATGATGAAACTTTTTAAAGACATTCCTAACAATTTTAAAATAAATATTGAAGGTAATATGTGAGAATGTAAAACAATTCTGAATTTAAAACCTGCTTTTAGAAAATATTTTGACTCATTTTCTCAATTATTTCAAATTAGATGACTGTTAAGCACTGCCGTCTATAGGGAGAAATTAATCTCCTATTTACATATATGGCTCGTTCCAAAACAGAGCATAACAAAAGGCGACACCATTAGATGAAAACAATAACAAATAATACGATACTCGGAACAGGGCTCATTACAATTAATAAGTTTTATTAAATTAAAAATAGAGTACAAAAGTAAAAAAAGGAATATAATTTAAAACTATTAACTTACAGTGTATTGTGTGGCTGGTATTAGAAGTACAATGTTGAAATAAAACACAGTGTGCAAAAATGTACAAATAATGAAAAGAAGTCTACTGTAAACAAACTCTCACACGTTCCAAACTAACCCTCACACACGGTCTGCGTATCTGCTCTACAGTCTTCTTCTTCTTCTATATCTTAAGGGCCCACGATCAATTTATTGATCATTTTCGCTCCTATGCATGAAGATGGGATTTGCAATGTTTCTGTTCTTGGTGTTGATGAGGAAATTTCACCGATTTCCAGTGCCACTTTGTGAGGGAATCATGCACTAGGGGTTTGAAGGCTTGAGGCAATAGACACAAATTGTCTAGTGTTGTCGCCTCAACCGTTCCTTTTGAAAGCTTGTTCCAGTCCCTGATTGTCTTGGGCGGGAATGAGCAGCTCCTATACTGGCTTCTTGCTGGTATGAGCCTGAATTGCCTGTCATGGCCTTGTCGCTGTCTATGGGGGAAAGGGACGAGTTTCTGTTTAATATTGGAACAGTGGACCAGCCCATTATTTATCTTGTACATCACGGAGAGCCTGGATTGTCGTCGTCGTGTCTCCAATGGTGACCAGCCTAGTGTTTCCAGCATGCTGCCAACACTAGAGGTATTCCTGTAGCGGTTTAGGACAAAGCGTGCTGCTCGCCGCTGGACCACCTCGAATGCGGTCAATTCGACCTGCCAATGCTCTTCTGGGTAAATGTGTCCCAGACTGAGGATGCATAATCTAAAATCGGACGGACAAAAACTTTATATGCTCTTTCTTTCACACAGGAGTTGCCAATCTTTAGATTTCACCTTAAGAACCCTAAGGTCTTGTTTGCTTGGTTACATACATTGTTAATATGCTCGTCCCAGCGGAACTCTCTTTGAATGGTAACACCCAGGTACTTTACGGAGGAAACTTGCTCAAGTATATGGCCGTGCAGTTCGTATTGGTAGTGTAGAGGAATACAACTTCTAGAGACTTATAGTGTCTGGTACTTGGCAGGGTGAAATTCCATGTCCCAGCTCATCTCCCACTCAGCTAACAGATTGAGATCCTGTTGTAGCTGGTCCTGGTCAGATCTGTTGGCGATCGTCCTATACACCGCTGTGTCATCTGCGAACAGTCTTGCCTGTGATGTCAGTTTCTCGGGTAGGTCATTAATGTATGCATTGTATTAGTGACTCGAACATTCTACAATTTGCTAGCAAATTCGAGTGGAGAAAAACAGATGACAGATTAATTTGTGGTAAACAAGATCAAAGGGAATAAGCCACAGCCAATACTAACACAGCGTCTGCTAAAGGTCACAGCAAGGGGGAAATATGACATAAACATGTCGTCTACATAACAATGACCATTATCCAAATATTGACTGTCATATACTCAATGACTGTCAGCATGGCTTTCGAGTCAACAGATCATGCGAGACCCAACTCCTTGAATTTGCTGAAGAGTTGACGACCAACTTGGAGAACAGCAAGCAGACTGATGTGCTTGTGCTGGACTTTTCAAAAGCGTTTGACCGTGTCAACCATAGCTTGCTATTGCACAAACTGCATAGATATGGGATCCAAGGCACTACCAAAACATGGATCTCTAGCTTCCTCAGCGACCGATGCCAGGCAGTAGTGGTAGATGGCAAAACCTCCTCCTTTGTCGGTGTTAAGTCAGGGGTCCCCCAGGGCTCAGTGCTAGGCCCTTGTTTGTTCCTAGCATATATCAATGATCTGCCCGAGAAGCTGACCTCTCAAGCAAGACTGTTCGCAGACGACACGGCGGTATATAGGACAATGGTCAACAGCTCTGACCAGAGCCAGCTTCAACAAGACCTCAATCGGTTAGCTGAGTGGGAGATGAGCTGGGACATGGAATTTCATCCCGTCAAGTGCCAGACCCTGTCAGTCTCCAGAAGCAGGTTCCCTCTAAACCACTCTTACGAACTGCATGGCCATATTCTTGAGCCAGTTTCCTCCGTTAAGTACTTGGGTGTTACCATCCAAAGAGAGGTCCGCTGGGACGAGCACATTAACAGTGTGTGCAACCGGGCAAACAAGACCCTGGGGTTCCTAAGGCGCAATCTGAAGATCGGCAACTCAAGCGTGAAAGAAAAAGCCTATAAAGCCTTTGTCCGACCTATTTTAGAGTATGCTTCTACAGTCTGGGACCCATTTACCCAGAAAAGCATCGACAGGTTGGAGGCGGTCCAGCGACGGGCAGCACGCTTTGTCATGAACCGCTACAGAAGCACCTCGAGTGTTGGCAGCATGCTGGAAACACTGGGCTGGTCGACATTGGAAGAACGACGACGACTATCCAGGCTCACCATGTTGTACAAGATAACAAATGGGCTGGTGCACTGCTCCGGAATCAAACAGAAACTCGTTCATCTTCCCCCCTGACTGCGACGAAGTCACGACAAACAGTTCCGGCTGGTAAAAACAAGAACGAAGTACAGAAGCTCCTCATTCCTGCCGAAGACAATAGGGGACTGGAACAAGCTTCCAAAAGCAACAGTTGAGGCGGCTACACTCGATACATTTGTGTCTATTGCCTCCTGTATTCCAACCCCCAGTTCATAACACCACTGCTGAGTCGCCCTTGCAACCAGTGAAGTATCCCATTGAAACCCATGGACAGTAACATCGCAAACCCCTCTGAAACATAGGAGCCAGAATGATCAATTCATTGATCGTGGGCCCTTAAAATAAAGAAGAAGAAGAAGAAGAAATGTATATAACAACATTTTTTTTTTAAACACAGTGATTACATTACTGTGATTACCTCTTCCAATTTCCGTTTCTCTGCTATCCTATCCATGTAAGCTTGCGGTGGTCCTCTCTGATAAGCTGGGAAATCTCTAGGGGGCCCATCTGGAGTCAGTTTTTCAGCTATGGGAATAATAATTACACCTGTTACTACAAAAATGTGCTTGTCAATATAATAACTAGTACTACAACAACACTTCAAAAGCAACTCTTTCTTAAAAGCTTTTATTTAACTTGACTTGAGGGGGATTTTTTTTATTTGCCGTGGTTGGACGTCTTTGATGAGACATGGTTGGAAATCATGCCGTGCTCATAGATCTATGTGGTGAATGTTAAGCAGTAATAGTCTTTTTTAGGTTGCAGTCAGTATTTTATTCAAGACCTTCTCATTTTACACTAAAAAATAATCAAAAGAAAAAACATTACAAGAGAAACAAACAAAATTATTTATAAAACTGTAATCAGACCAGTTGTAACATATGCAAGTGAAACTTGGACCCTAACAAAAACGGCAGAAAACCTATTAAACACATGGGAGAGGAAAGTTCTAAGAAAAATATATGAACCAACAAAGGATGACTATGGATGGAGGATATGAATCAACCATGAATTGTACAGTCTATATCAGGATCCAACGATAGTAGCAGAAATAAAAAAGGATAGGCTGCACTGGGCAAGGACAGTTAGAGAGAATGCCAAATGACAGAGGAGTGAAGAAGGTGCATCATCAAAACCTCAGAGAAAAACGGCTCAAAGGCAGAACTAGACCTGGATGGATGATGTGGAAAAAGATCTAAAACTGCTGGGAATCCTTCATGGAAAAGAAAAGCATTAGTTAGGTCTGAGTGGAAGGAAGTGGTGAGGCAGGCCAAAGCCCTATATGGGCTGTAGCACCACAGGGACAGATTCTTGTTTTTAAGTAGATGTATCTTTGGCCTGCAAACACAGGTTTTAAAGTAGAAATATCTTTAGCCTGCAAACACAGGTTTTAAAGTAGAGATATCTTTAGCCAGTAACACACAGGTTTTAAAGTAGAAATATCTTTAGCCTGCAACACACAGGTATCAAAGTAGAAATATCTTTAGCCAGCAACACACAAGTTTTAAAGTAGAAATATCTTTAGCCTGCAACACACAGGTTTTAAAGTAGAAATATCTTTAGCCTGCAAACACACAGGTTTTAAAGTAGAAATATCTTTAGCCTGCAACACACAGGTATCAAAGTAGAGATATCTTTAGCCAGTAACACACAGGTTTTAAAGTAGAAATATCTTTAGCCAGCAACACACAGGTTTTAAAGTAGAAATATCTTTAGCCAGCAACACACAGGTTTTAAAGTAGAAATATCTTTAGCCTGCAACACACAGGTATTAAAGTAGAAATATCTTTAGCTATCAACACACAGGTTTTAAAGTAGAAATATCTTTAGCCATCAACACACAGGTTTTAAAGTAGAAATATCTTTAGCCAGCAACACACAGGTTTTAAAGTAGAAATATCTTTAGCCAGCAACACACAGGTTTTAAAGTAGAAATATCTTTAGCCAGCAACACACAAGTTTTAAAGTAGAAATATCTTTAGCCAGCAACACACAGGTTTTAAAGTAGAAATATCTTTAGCCTGCAACACACAGGTATTAAAGTAGAAATATCTTTAGCTAGCAACACACAGGTTTTAAAGTAGAATTATCTTTAGCCAGCAACACACAGGTTTTAAAGTAGAAACATCTTTAGCCTGCAACACACAGGTATTAAAGTAGAAATATCTTTAGCCAGCAACACACAGGTTTTAAAGTAGAAATATCCTTAGCCAGCAACACACAGGTTTCAAAGTAGAAATATCTTTACCCAGCAACACACAGGTTTTAAAGAAGATGTTGCCAATTTATCTAAATAGTAAAAGCTTAAGTTATTTTTCAATATTCTTGTTTAGTAAGCCAAACTTACCACCTAGTCTCAAATGTGGGGCCAGGTTACCCCCTGGCAGTACACCTCTGAGGCCACCGCTGCCCTCCCCAGAGGACTGGTTTTCTTGCTGCTGCTCAGCAATGCTATCAGACAACTGAAAATTATTTTAAGCAATTTAAAAAAGTTTAAGTATAAATAGGTAACTTTATATTTGTTTTTTTTTTAAAGTTGAACCCAAACATATAACAGGTACCTAAACTTATAATAAATACTTAAACTTATAATAGATGCACAAGTATTTAATACATTTTTCAAAGTTTTTTTGTTGACTTTTAGAGACGAAAGTAGATAACATAGAGACAAGTATGATGTCATGTCCAAAATTAACTCACCAGATTTGCTGGGACCTCATCAGCACCAATGCGACCTATTCGAACTAAGTACTGAATAAAATCCCTGGCAGCATTTGACTGGGCATCCTTTTTGTTGGTTGAATTCCCCACGCCCACATATTCCAGGGAGTCCACGTGAACCTAGTAAATACAGATCATTACTACCTTTCATTTACTTACATCAAATTTGTTCCAAATACCTGTAACATTATTCTGGTACAGGCAAATTTTCCTTAGCATCCTAAATAGTGCCAAGATGGTTCAGTTCAGCTTGCTATCTTTGAATTGCCCTTTAAGTAAATGACAAGTAACCCAAAGCTGAGATACAGTTTCTCAAGATTCATTTCAAACAATTTATTGGCAAACAAAAGTTATCTGTAAACACCCTAAACATCTTGAATATATTTTAAGTAACATTTTTGTATTCCACTAACATTAACTGATTGAAAATGTTGAATTAAATGAAGAACTGTCAAGCTTACCTCACACTTGAATCGTTGTCTGTGTTTCGGCCCACCTGAGGAGAACTCGTAGTTAGGATTTCCTACTTTATTTTTGCCACACCAGCTGTAAAGGATCTGTTTCACATCCATTAGGGTGTGTAGCTGTTTTACGGTGTGTAGCTGTTTGGCCTGTGCAAATACTGCTCAGTTTTTTACACTACAATGTATGTTTATATACCTGGGGAAAAAATATTTATATATAGTAGATATACACCCAACAATAACATTAGACTATCATTATGTACAATAGGTCTACATTAAATTAAAATTTCTTTCAATTATATTTTAGGGTGATTGTTGTTATGACAATGATGTGACTGTCAAAATCACATGCATCAAGGAAATGAATTGATAATGTAACAAACAGTAGTGTAATACAATGTTGCAGATGAATTTAACAACAATACATCAGGCCATGTCACACAATTTCACAGTTAAGGGAGACAGGTGTGTGGGTCATTCAAAATGATTTTAATTTCAAACTAGATAAATGCTTATAATTACAATTTAAGAAGTAAATCTCATTGGACCCCTTAAACTTAAATAGGTTTCAGCCCATTTCAGCTGCAGGGACTGCAAAGCCCATATAAAAGATCTGCCTATACATGTCAATTAGTTCAAAATTTTCAGATTTTACTGAAAAGCAGTTGATTATTAAGTTGTTGTTTCTGAGAACAAAAAGTCTAAAAATGTAGGAAAATTTAGGGGAAAAAAGGGCAGTTATTATGCAAATAATTGGAATTTGACAATGTCAAATAATATTTGATTAGATGAGGATTGAATGCTGGTCTAGTAAATGTATGGACATGGATTAGCTTTAGCTCCCGGATAACATAACCAACAGTTTATCAGTGGCAGTGTCTCCAGCACTATTTGTCCAGGGACCAAGTCACATGACCGCCGGAAGAATACTTTATCGAGATATTCATCCGGCAACCAAGTCACATAACCCCCGTAACAAAGTAATAGTGAGGGTGGTAAATAATTAAGTTTAAGGCGAGGAGGCTGATAGTTCACAAAGAAATAAACCCTACATCTTAATATAGGTAGGTACATCGATACCCTCTCGCGCATACCGTTTGCACATGACCGAAAACTGACGGAAAACTCTTGTGGCAATATAACAACAGACGGCTTGGCGAGGCTTTCGTTTTTTTGCGGTTCAGGTCACAGTTTTCTAATAATAAATTATTTGGTCATCAGTGACGTAGAGCGCATATTTTTCTGAGCAAGCTGGTACCATTTTTACCGCATTGTAAACATTGTGAACGGCAACGCATTTAATTTCATACAGAGGTATGTACTTAATAGCTTATTACTTTTTTGTGTAAATTTTTACAACAAAGTTGTTTACCTGTACCAATGTTGTGATCCTTTCCACAAAAATAATAACTTTACTTTGTAATGATAGGTTATTTAAACAAAAAGTTATGAATTTAAAAAAAAAAATTTTAAATGTGTAAGAAAATTAAAATATATCAGTGGTAACCCCCTTTAAAAAAAAAATGGGTTGTCGGAAATGGCTATTCTTATCAATTTAATATAAACTACAGAGATGTAATGTAATAATATAATAACCCAATAATAATGAGCATTGCTTTACTTTATTACTAATAATAATAATATTACTATTATTATATAATATTATTCCAATTTAACCATGTCCTATATTTCTCTATAATACATATTTTTACCATAATAATTATGTGGGACCATAATATAATACTTTCAATTATATCAATAAGATAGTTTTATTTATGGCAGTGTCTACACGTCCGGCGCGCCTTCGGACGTATATCTCCCGCACTATTTGTCCGGCGACCAAGTCACATGATCGCCGTAACAAAAGGGCGATAGATATCTTGTCGGTCAGCCTTGTCACGTGACTGCGAATGATTCAAAACTATTGTTATTAAATTGTTAATTTTAAAATCTATTTCTCTACCAAGTAAAGTACTTAGTATCTTGAATGCAAATAATAGAAAAAAAATTAAGTGAAAGTGGCTTGTAAACATTTTTGTTTTGTTTGTTATTTGAGTTTGTGTACCAGTAATCCATAAAATAAATTAGGGGCCAGTGTGGAGTAGGCAACCAATAAAAGTAAAAGATTTCATTTTAAATTGTTTAAATTGCTACAAAATATTTAAAAACTCCTCATGAAACTACTGTTGCTGATGAACATGATAATAAAAATATAGTATAAAATATTTTTAATTAAAATGGGGAAAAAAAACTATCCTTTCCCCGGAATTGATCCTTAAATCATAATAACATTATTAAGCAACCACTCTACCACTAGACCACACAAGATCTACCAATCTGCACTTCGTTCGGAATAATAAAAACTACTAGCGTGACATGCCGCCGGACGTATATCTTGCGCACTATTTGTCCGGCGCGCTGACGTGTAGACACTTCGTTTATTTATATAGAGCCGATATAGTGGTAGCCTAGCCTACTTCTCAGGCAATACTAAATACTAATCCTGAAATACAACTTTATTGACATAGGTCTATTGAAGTCTACTGGTCTTATTTTATTTGGTTCATATTTTAAATTTAGGTTTCAAGGTAGAGCTTTATAAGATGTTTAACCAAGATATGTTTTAAAAAAAGTGATTTTTTATTCACACTAAAAATCATAACTTTTTAACCAAAAGTGCTAAATAAAAACATATTATTACTTCATTTAACAAGATCTATCTTACAGATGCGTTCATTTCTTAAATCATTCAATTTGAAAATTTTATCCAACTACCTACTTAGGGCCGAGGCTATCTATTCAGATGTCTTTTGTGGTAGTTTATTTTAGTCAAACTGAAGAAGTAAGTCCATTCAATTACCTTTCATTCATTTGACACCAAATTGTGTCTTAAAAACCCAATAATAATAATTATAATATTTTTTGTTAAACCTAACTAACCTCTTTACTTTTACAGTCTTCACATTTAATGTCACATCGCAAAGCTGTCCTTGCCTTTTTTATGTCTGCAATGGTTGAAAAAGCAGTCAAATTAAGCTCTCTGTAAAAGAAAACAACTAATTGTTTGTTTATAAAAGAATTGTCTATCTGTAAGTAAACATAAACTCAGAACCCAGCAATAAAAAAAAAGAAAAGCCTCATTGTTTGTCTTCATTATTAAACTAAAATTTCATTTTACCCACAAATCCTATCCTCTGCATTACTCTCAATTTTATTTACTGATGTACACGTTTGCAAACTAAACATTATTTACAATGACAACAACAAAAAAAAAAAAATGAAATAAAACGTACATTGGCTGGGTAAACAGTAACAGCTTCTTTTTCTTCACTGACATTCACTGAGTTGATTCATTTCAAATTCAAAAATTACTTTAATTTTAATAATTAAAATTATAACAAATTAATTTATATAACCTGTACCACATTAAGCAAGTAAGCAATGCTTCCTTTAATACTAAGTTATGCACACACACACACATAAATATATATTTAATATATATATATATATATATATATATATATATATATGCTATTTTATATTAATTTACGATTTCCTTTTTTAAACAGTTCGTTCAAATTAAATTCAAGTGTAGTCATCTTTGAAAGGCTAAAAAATGGCCCATTGCTTTGCATCCAGCGTAAATAAAATGCTTTATACATTTCTGATAAATTTTATGCTGTAGCTCTTGTCCTATTTTATTTATAGTATTAAATTGTATTTCTCAGGGTAGTTCTGTACATTGGCAGCATGGCTTAGGGGCCTTGCACATTTATATAACACCAAAATATGAGAATTTTTTTAACCAACTCCCTAAAACACAGTAGGTCTCAACCTTCTTAGTCTTAATGCTTACTTTGAATTCCACATGTTGTGGTGACCCCCAAACACAAAATTATTATCGATGCTATTTCATAAGGGGCCATCCTTAAAGTACGTCACGCTCCAGAGGGAGGAGGGGGTGTAAGAAAGTGTGACAGTTTGTGACAGGGAAGGGGGGGGGGGTTCAGGCCATGTGTGACGTCACACATTTATTTTTAAATAATTTATTTTTAAATAATTTATTTCTAATTTATTTATTATTTTTTTAGTGGAATTTAATAACTTTAAAAATAATTTTCAAAAATTTTGTGAAACATTTGAATTAGTTTTATGTCAAAATAGCATGAAATGCGTATCTCCTGAATGTGTTGTTCACGATTCCTCTCGCTAGGAGCGCTATTATGCTGTTGCGAAGCCTTGTTTTATGCATACTAGCATAAAAATGGTCAAAAATAGCGTGACATACTTTATGGACGGCCCCTAACTGTAGAGCACATGTATTTTCCGATGGCCTTGGCGATCCATTAAAAAGGGATCGTGACACACAGGTTGAGAATCGTTGCTATATCATTATATAACTTTCCTTTGAAACTTTCCCCCTCCCAAACGAATGTCCAAAAAAACAAGCAAGCAAATTTCAAGCAAAAGCCAGAAATAAATCATTCTTTTTACAAAATGCGCTAATTATTGTATACAAAAATAATTTTAGCTTTTAATAATCTAGGTTAATTTAATATATTTGAAAAGCAGAAAATTTGCAATAATTTAAAAAACAAATAAAGGAAAAGAATTTTATATTATATCATTGCTCTCTACCCCTCCATATAACAATGATGAACCCCCCTAGCCCCTTCACGCTATATTAATAATCTATGCACAGTCCCTTCATAACTGACAACACAATTTATTTTGGTTTTATTTATTTTATTGAATAAATAAAAATGTGTTATAATTTATTTTTTTTGAGAGAGAGGGTTGTGTCAGTGGGTTCTTGTCTTGTCTTTCTTCTGTTGCGATGCTTAAGTAAACTGGCATTGCTCATGGTTGCCTTGAAAGCTGACACCCTTAGTAAAGAAGTGTGAAAGTTAGTAAATATGTCTCGATCAATGAAGTGTCTACGTGATATAAAAATATATCATTAAAAAAAAAAATGAATAGAAACGATTTCAAAGAACAATTGATATTTAATAACTTCAATTTTCAACATAACATGAAAAGGATAAAGAACAATCAGAATGTATATATTTTGATTGCCATGTAATTGTTATTAATTTTATATCAATGCATATTATATGTGGTTCACATGTGAAAATGCATAGAAAAATATCATTGTAAATAGATTCAAATTTTAGAAACAGACTTTCATGTTGAATTTTGAGTCCTCAAAATATCATAAATTAATTTCATTAATGCTTATTAAATATATAATAAAAAGCTATAAGACAAAAAGGAGAGAAAATAAAGAGGTAAACAGTGAGAAAGAAAATATCTTGGCAACCATTTTGGCTCAAACCTGGAATCAAACATTGCGAAAAAAAAAATTAAAACTCAAAGTCAGATATTTAACTTCACGCAGGCTTGTAATAATAATCTCATTCTTGTTTAGATTGAACATATTCTATTTATTTGAATCATTTGTAATTAATTTACAATTTTTACTCCAAAAATAATATTTAAAAAGAGATGATGACCATTCCATGAGTACTTTTAAATATGAGGTAATCATCAGTTTTTTTTTAAATAAAATGGTTGGGAAATAATATAAACACACTGCATATATGCCAACACTGTAACTTTCTAAACAACTACGATTGTGTAATTAATAAACCTATCATCTGAATTGTTTTATTTATTGCAATATAAAATAGTTTATATTATCACCTCCCCACCCTCTGTTAGTGTATCACCCAAGTCCAAGGGTGAAGGTGCCTACCCCTCTGAGGATGTACCGGGTGCAGCACACACACACCCCCCAGCACTTATAGTGATACTACTGCTGATGCTCAAAAGATCAAGTGCTGATGCTCAAAAGATCAACTGCTAATGCTCAAAAGATCAAGTGCTGATGCTCAAAAGATCAAGTGCTGATGCTCAAAAGATCAAGTGCTGATGCTCAAAAGATCAAGTGCTGATGCTCAAAAGATCAAGTGCTGATGCTCAAAAGATCAAG